TTAAAAAAATTTCCTGGTAAGAATATATGCTTACCAGGGGGTAGAGTGGGTGGGAAGGATTAAATTGGGAGTTTGAAATTTGCAGATACTAGCTAATACATATAAAATAGATAAACAAGTTTCTACTGTATAGCACAGAGAACTATATTCAGTATCTTGTAGTAACCTATAATGAAAAAGAACATGAAAATGAATATATGTGTGTATATGTATGACTGAAACATGCTGTACCCCAGAAATTGACACAACATCCTAAACTGACTAGACTTCAAGAAAAACAGGATGCAAAAAAAAGTACAGAATAGACACCAAAAAGGAAAATAAGTTCTGTATCAAAAGTACTATTGCAAAATCATATCTTAGAACGTTTTTATTTTTAATTTTTTCCTTAGAATAATTGAAAAAACCCTCAAAGTAGGTATTGTATTTACCTCCAACAAGTTCCTTTAGACTTGGCACATGGAAAGAATACTCAGCACAAGCCATTTTCTTTCTTCCTCAGGTGCGAGGATGTAGAAAATAAAGCTACTGTGGGCTAATTATCACAAGAGTTCACGGTGCGTGAACAGCTACTGCTCTGGAAAAGAAAGAGTTCAGTTACATAAAGAGGGCCAAAGGGCATGTAGGTTTCTGTCCTCACAAAAGAGCAGCCACAGCTTCTAGTATTTAATATTCCAAGTGAGAAATGCCCAGGTAACCTCTTTTAATACTAATACTTTAAATAGCTGACATTTAAAATAGACAGGAGGAACACCAGACCAAGAGCACACATGATTCATTTGCTTCAGTCAGATATGTGGACTGAGCATGCAGCTTTCTAGAAATCGTTGGTTTAAGGAATACAAGTCCTGAAATAAAAGGTAGTTACTAAGGTTTATCAATAGTGTTTCAGTGGTTGTACAACAGTATAGGATGCTCAAGCACTTTTTTAAAAACTTTTTTTGGGGTGGTGATAATTAGGTTTATTTATCTACTTACTTATTTTTTAACAGAAGTAATGGGGATAGAACCCAGGACTCGTGCATGCTAAGCACGCACTCTCCACCGAGCTGCACTCTACCACACAGCTATGTCCTCCTCTGTCAAGTACTTCTATAATAGATCATTTGTGTTTTCTATTCTATGTTTGACATTTAGGCTAAAAATTAGACAAGTTTCTTAGACTATCACTTTTACAAAAGGAAGTTTAAATTACTAAGAGAAATGGAAACTTCCACAAATGATTAGCTTTTGAAATTTAAATTATTACTTTCATTTACAAATAAACATTTTCTTGGTAGGCAGCTTTAGTGTTCAATTATTCTGATAACCTGACCAGTTATAATTTGATATTTTAAAAATATATGCTAAGTATATTTTACAATAAGTAGACATATATACACAGTGATTAGTATCTTACCTCAAGCATCCAGGTGATGAGGTGTGCAAGCAGAGATAAATAAAATGCAAGCAGAAAAAAACTCCAAAAAACCCAAGCAAAAGTAATAGGAAGTGGGCAGGGAATCCCACTCTAGGCCAACTGCAACAAGGAATGAAGACAAAACTTAACGATGTTTCTAAGAACACTGTTGGAGTTCTCATTAAAATTGTTAATGAAACACTTCATCAATCTGAATAGTCTCTAGTACACGCTTACTTAGTAAGTGAAAGGTGGTCCTTCAGCATCACTTGAAATATTCTTCCAACAAAATTTTTTTTAATTTTCCCAAGATCCACAAGTTTCTTAAGAAACTGAATTTCTAATTTTGATGATAATTTCAAATAACACAACCTCCACAAACATGCTATTCCATACATTTAAGACTTGGCATTTACTTTAGTACTTAATCTAATACCAATTTTATGACCATTTAATTACTTATTATGCATAATTTGGTCTCCTAAATAACATATAACCTGTTGACAATGGGCCACAAGCCCTATATAATCATATTTTAATTATCTCAAATATATTTTTGAATTGAATAAGCTATAATTGTTCCAGAACGAGCCATTTAACTTTTTCTTCTGAAATAATTTCAGATGGACAGAAAAGACATACAAATAATTACTGTATACTCTTCACCTAGATTTTCCAAATTCTAACTTCTTATATTTTCTGTATCAGAAACCAGCAAGTACTGATTAAGAACATGTCAAAATCGGCTCAATGACTACCACATGTATTTAAAATGAGAGTAATAAAAGTGCTCTAGATATATCTACTGATAGTAGGAATAATAAAGACTCAAATTTAAATTAAATATAATCCTAATTTTATACCCTTTACTATCTTTCAAAGATCAGGCTTTTCTTTCCTCATCAAAACAGGAATAAATTCCAGCCCTCAGAGGCTATAGCCTGAATAACTGGTTTAGAAATGCAGAACATCAGGCAAGCCAACAGCCCAGAAGGCAGAGTGGGAGTGTGTGTGTAAGTATGTTTATATCTGAGGGGGAGGTAGGGAAGAGGAGGCTGGAGTTGGGGAGTTGAGGGAAAGAGGTTAGAAAAGCTCTCACACACATTCAGAGCGGCTCCAGGAGGACAGCTTTGGGCCACATGGAGGCAAACATTTGCTCTCCAGATTCCATTGCTGGGAGTCAGTGGCCCAGAAGTAGGATCTAGAGAAGGGAAGGATGGAAAATAGGAGGCAGCTGGGTATCGAGCTGCAGAGACAACGCCTAAAGGGGGAGGCCAACTATAGCAACCAAGCTGAGAACTGCTTACTAACTGCATACTGTAAATCAGACACTGTGCTAGACACTTACATTCTCTCAAAACCCACACTAATGTAAACAGTATCCCGTTCACTTTATAAGAGGAAATAGGCCAGAGGAAATATATTATTTACTCCAGATCACTCAGTTATTAAGTGGGCAGCAACAGAATTCAATACCAAATCTAGCCCACTGTAAAAGCCAGAACTCATCACATTATACTATGCCACTTACCGGTGAAGGAATGACACACTCCAGCTCACAATAAGGGAGAATTTGTATAGAGCAATCTTACAGCACTCAGGGTGTACCTGTGATCATCTGTTTGCTTTGCTTGTGTCCCCTAGACTGGGATCTCTCTGAAGATGGGACTTTATTTCTCATATCTGTCTTCCCAGTACCTAGCACACAATAGATACCAGTTCAGCCTTAATTTTTTATTGAAAAGTTATGATATGCCAGACCTAGAAGACTCTGGGACAGGGTTTCATGGGTGTGCCTCTAGTGTAGTAACATAAGACCATGTGCTCAGAACAGCACACGGTTTATGTCACCATCTTTAAATTCTTTGTATTTGAACTTTTAGGACAGATAGGACAGTGGAGCATGCGCAGGATCAGAGGAGAGAATCTCAGAGTGTGTGTCCACCACCATTCCTTGGTTCCCATTCATATAAAGCATTTATGAAATCCTGTAGGCACAGAATGTTGGGAGTTGATTGAGACTAAAATTCCCTGGATTCCATAGTGATGGTAGGATGTGCATGCATCAAGAAGTAAAATAAATGCAGGCGAGTTAGTTTTGTGCAGTATCCAGGGCTCTAGTAAGAACGGAGTACATATGCCTGAATGAACTACAGAATACGAACTGTGAAATTTCAGTGATTCTGCATACGAGTTAAATGTTCTTATGTTTGTGTTTAAAACTGGCAGAGTACAATATAAAAAATGGTAAAATTCATGCTAATGATTTAAATTTAAGTGTTTTCTTAAGTGACAATAAATAGCAAATTAATCTTAATAATAAAATGATTAATAAATTAATAAAATAGCATGATTGTTCATGTTACTAATAATTAATAATAGGAAATTAATGCTATTAATTAAAACACCATGACAAGTCGAAAGAGATACTACAGAAGAAAGGTGACAGCTTATATTCTGGTACCTTTAATGGCATTTTCCCCCCTAATTTTGAGCTAGAGATCATGCGTTTTCATTTTGTACTGAGCCCCACAGATTACATAGCTCGGCCTGCTCCGGGATATGGCGGCGACTAAGGCATGCGATACCTGTCCTGGAGCTTACAGTATTTCCTAATGCCTACAAGACTAGACTCTTCGTGCCTGGAATTGTTCAATGTTTAGAGCAAACGTGAGTAAAGAGACCAGATTACCTTCTAGGTCTGTCAAATCCCGAGATGACACTTAACTATAAATTAAGGCTAGACAGTTTTCCTGGTTTTATCATATGATACAAGTCGTCTGAATCAAGCTAGCTCAACCCTTTTTGTACTACTTTGGGGGGAAAAAGCACCACCATCACTAAACTAGTTTAAACTTTTATCTTAACACTCATTAACCGTTCAGGGAACTAAGGGCGGAGAAAACTTAAAAAAAAAAAAATTACGCTGCTGGCATCTCTTGTGACACGTTGACCAACTCCTGGGAGGCCGACCCTTAGTTCGGAGTGAGAGTGAGCCAACAAAACACGTCCGAAGGTGGAGAGGGGCACGGGGGTGCTATGGGGCAACACTGGCTTCCAGTGCAAAGGTTACACACTTCGAGTCATGGTCAAAGCACGATCCTTTCCCAAGTTAACACAGAAGAGGTTTCTGAAGGCAAAAGTAGACATAATATGACAGAACACAGCCGGCACCACACACACGGATACGCACACCCCTATCCACCCGGGACCGGGTTTGGAAAGTCAGACGACAGCCCAGCAAAGGCGAGATCACTGGAAGCGGATCAGGCGGAGTGGCTTGTTACCTCGCAGTTCACATTCCGTTCACTTGACCCCCACAATTCTTTTGTAGTTTGTTGAAACGTTTTTGGCTGTTCCACTTACCCGATCGGTTAGGGAAGCGTACACCTGAAGCCTCCAGTTGGCTCAGTCAACTCCACCTCCTCTGGGTTAGGAAGCTCAGGCCCCGCCCACTCTAAATCGCTCCTCCCCTCGCGGCGATCAAAATGGCGCCCCGCGATTAGCCACCTCCCATCTCTCACTTACTTCCTGTAGTCAAAGTGTTATCGCGAGATTTCGGCCTCACTATTAGACGGCCCGCGCGACCCGCTCGGTCTTTCCCTCCGCGCTGCTGTAGAAGCAGGTCGTTGGCGTGTGGAGTGCTGCGGTGCCGGGGTTGCTGAATGCGGACTTCCGCGGCCGGAGTTGTGGGCATTGGACACGCAGCTGAGCCCCGTGCAGAGCCCGCGCTGCTTGTGCACGCCGTCTGCCGTCTGGACGGGTAGGAAAGAGGACGTGGCCGTCCCGGCCTTGTGGGCGAGGGAGGGGTTGCTCGTCTAGCTTTTCCCGGGAACTCTGCGTGGCTGGGCGGGATCCCGGGAGCCGCAGAAGTCGGGCCCAGAGGGCGGAGGGCTCGCAGTGGTTGTGGGCCTCGGGCCTAGTGGCTGGAATGCAGCCCGCACGTACGCGGGGATAGCCTGGGCGTGGCCGGTTGTCTAGGGTGTCGGTGTTCAAACGTATTATAGAAAAGTACATGTTTTCTGAATTAGTAGAGGATAAGTGAGAGGTAAGCGTAAGTGACGCCATTTCCCTTGCGCGAGGTTAGGTGCTTCCGGGAGACGCTCAGCCAGGGTCACACAAAGTAGGGGTGAAGGGGTATTGTCAGCGCCGGTAAAGTGCACTGTCTCGCCACATGGCCCCTCTGCGCAGAATCTCGGAAGCTACATTGTAGTAGGAATGCCTTCTAGTTTCCCCCAATGATTAACACCACTTAAGTTTGATAATGTGCAGATAAATTTTTTTTAAAATGCAGTCTCAAATATACCCTCAGTACTACTGAATCTAGTTTTTGTTGAATTTCTATTTGGGGCACTTGTTTCCTAACTTGTTTCTTAGACTCTGAATTTTTACTGCCTTCCTTTTTGTTTTGTTTACAGCGGAGAGAGGTGATTAGGTTTATTTATTTGGTTTTTCAGTGGAGGTACTGGGGATTGAATCCAGGACCTCATGCATGCTAAGCATGCGCTCTACCACCTGAGCTATACCCTCTTCCCTCTTAGATTCCGAATTTTAGAAAACTACAATAAAATATACACCATGAAATTACCATGAATCTATTGGACATTTTGCGAATCTAAGATCTGTGTGACCTTACTGATTTCCTGTAATTTGTAAGATACTGCTGTTGTGGAATTTCTTTGTTTCTCATTTGTCATTACCAAAAATGCTAAACACTAAGAACAGTACCAAAAAATGGAAGAACGGTGGCATCCCCTGTAAGAGATGCACTAGTAAAGCAAGACATCTTTTATTTATTGTTTAGCCCAAACTGTTGTAAAGTCTTCCAAGGAGTGTTTTTTTTTTTACAAAAGGAGACTAAGGGGGCACTGCTGTAGTCTGTAAGTCTATCATTGAAAACCTTGAGAATTTGGCGCTTTTAAATTAATACCCATACTAGTAAGTAATTTGCAAAGAGGTTTCACAGTGGTTCTGAAAGCTAGTGCGAATGGGAAGAGGCTGTAAATGAAAATCCCAGGCCAGGAGGTTTGAATTGAGGTGGTGGGTTGTAATGGTTAGTTTTCCTGATATATTGAGGCCACACTCTGCCTTCAGTCTTTGCAAGTTTTTCCCCATACTTCCCATCTGCTGTTGAAAAATGGCTTTTTGGCCATTAATAGTACATTACTATATGGCAAAGGATAAAATTACATTTTTTTTTACTGTTGTAGAAAGATGTTTGATACTTTTGTTGGAATTACAGTATTCTTCTGGAATCTTGTTCCATTGGATAGATTGAGAAGGTGCAACTAAAAAATAGAACCTGTGAATAAAATCTCAAGATTTTAGAATTGATCTAAAGTGAACAGTTCCTATGTGAAAATATTAAAGGCCTTGTGTATGATTTTGCCTTAGTTTACATATACTGGCCTAACTGTCATGACTACATCAGTAGTTGCATTACTCTGATCCTAGCTGTTTGTGTTGGTATGTATTTGTTCAGGAAAGTTATGTCATATTTACCCAATTTTATATTGTCAGAAATCTGTTCAAAGCAAAGGACAAGTGACAAATAAGACGAGAGGAGCTTGGAGAATACCATACCAGGAATGGATTCTCTCAACTGTGTAACAGCATCAGAGTCAGCTATGGAAATTGAGAATCAAAGGTAGGTGCATTTTTTTTTATATCAACAACCACCAAATTTTTGCTGGAAAAGAGACTAGATCATAATGTTTCTGTATTTGAATTACCAGGAAAAAATTAATCATTCTAGATAGTGGTGGTAAAGATAATTTTCCAGAATTAGAAAAGAAAAAGAAAACCTGGTTTGCACAGGCCTTCAAAGTTTAAATTACTTAAAAACAATGGGATGCATTCTTAACCCAGGGAAACAGGAGTATATTTCCTGGGCCAAATTGGTATCTTCCTGACTAAATCATTCTAATTTTATAACAAAATAGGTATCAGCAGGGAATCTTGCTTTAAAATTAACTTGTCCTGATACTCCACAAGGATGCTGGCTTGTGTATATGATGGAGGTATCTAGTTACCTCTTCCATTGATCTCACTGGAAAATCAGATACAGCATTTCTAGTATATTCACACCAGATGTCGGTCCGCTGGGCTGTTCTTACTTAGGGGGCGCTTTAGCAGTCAACAAGGCTGCCTTTGTAGAACTTCTGTAGAGGAAGATCAGTGCTGTGGCATCATGGGCCATTTGAGGTGGAGTGGTCAGAACTACGTGGTTGGCTAGTTCTGAGCCCATTCTTTTAAATTATCGCCAGCATGTTTTCCTGCTTTGATTTGTAAAAGACAAGTGTATTACTGATAATAAACATTCAGTAATAAAAGAGGATGCAATTAATCTTTCTTTTTTTCTAGTGATAACTCTTCCTCTGGTAGCGGTAGCAGCATATTTAAAACTCAGTGTGTTCCTGTTCCACCTAAACGGAGGCAGACAAACGCTGTTAGAAAATTTGTTCGCTTACCTGAAAGTGTTCAGGCAAGCGATTCATCTAGTGACTCATCTATAGAACCAAGACCATTGACTTTAAAAGCTATTTTTGAAAGATTCAAACAAAAGAAAAAGAAACGTAAAAAGAGGAAATATAAGCCAAAAGGAAGATCAGCGGGAAGACCGAAAGGAAGGAGGAACACTAGAAGGTCACAAATAAGTGAGAAACAAATTAAAGACAAAAGACTTAGTTTCCCATTTTTAGAATCAGAAAATGGAAGAAAAGCATCACCTTGGAGAAAAATTTTAACCTTTGAGGTGAGTCATTTTATACATGCTGATGCATATAGCTAAAGATGTCTGCAACGAGTTGTTGGTCACTTGTAGAATTCAGATATACCTGAACATACGGTCTGGTAATACTCTTCTATACTGACCATATATACTGAGTCTTGGAAGATTTTTTTCATTTTCTAAGTCCATGTCTTAAAATACGGTGTTTTTGGTACATAGCAAGCAGTGGCAAGAGGATTTTTTAACTACCTTGAAAAACTGAAGTATGAATACCACCTCAAGGAATCCTTGAAACAGATGAATGTTGGTGAAGATTTAGAAAAAGAAGACCTTGATAGTCGTAGATACAAATACTTGGATGATGAGGGATCTCTCTCTCCTATTGAAGAGTCAGTGTAAGTTGAATCATGGGAATAACTTTGGACATAGGTTTTATAAAATTAAATGCTTTTAAATTGTAACATTAAAACACCGCTCCATATTATGCTATCAGTTTGTTTGAACTTTGATTTAGTAGTGATGTGAGGGCAGATGAAAAAGGCCATTCAGGTTATTCCATTTGAGCTGTGAGCTCAGCACACTGAGACATGGATTTTGGCGTGTTATACACGAATCATTTTTCTCCGTGATTGGTATTGCTGTTCCAGCTGTATGTCATGATAGAGGATACCAGTTAGGTTATAGAAGATTTTGTCCAAGTGATATGTTTTTAATATTACAGAGCAGAAGATGAGACTGCAACAAATCTTCAACATGATGAATGTGATATTAAGTTGGTGGTAAGTGACATTTTTATCCCACTTATTTTGAGAGGGCAGCAGTGATAAAGGAAGAATTTTATCTTGTGTTACCGTCCGTATTTAATTTTTGAAAGGCTTAATGCTTTTGGTGCAGGAAATGCAAGAATAAAAATAAGAATTTTATGGATAATCGATGAGAACATGGACTTCAGTACTTTTGTAAGTTTTAATGTGTGCGTGCTACTGGGATATCAAATGAGAAAATCAGAAGTTAGTTTGGATTTGTAACATAATCTATCTGTAGTGTCCAGTTTAAGTAACCCAGAGTCCAGTTATGTGTAATCACTAAAGGAATTAAATTACTAAATTTAATTCTACTAAATGTAATTTAAATACTAAATGTACTTACTAAAGAAATGTAATTATTAAAGAAATAAAGTTTCAGTTACTGCTTTTATGCAGGAAGATAATTATTTCATAATGAGTTATGAATTACCAAAGAAGAAGAATGTATGTTTGGAACAAGAGGAAAATACTGAAGAAACTGCTTTGTCTAAAAAGAGAGCATCAAAATCCAAAAAGCACTAGACAGAAGACAGAATGGCCTGAAAAGGAGATAGGCATATGAATGCCAGACAAGGTAAACAGAACAGAGAAAAAGCAACTTTTTATAGAAAGAAAAGATAACAAATGTGAATGTATTTGCCAGCCTAACGATAAAAAAGAATGTAAGAAAACAGAACTTTCGAAGAAAATCTGTGATACGCCTAAAATAGTTAATCATTAGAAAAAACATTTTCAAACAGTGAAATTATATATGTAGAAAAAAATTGAGGCTGTTAACACCAGAATTCATCACTTGTTAAATAATAAACAAAGTCCTACTGCTTTTGCCTATGGTGGTTTATTTCTGGGTAAGAGAACTTAAAGGTGTTATTTGAGCATTGAATCACATACAGAAACTGTCATCCTGAAAAGAAAATCTTAGTTGCAATAATCACTAATGATTGACAACCCACCATCTACTTGGGGTACCTGAAGCCCCTCCCCCCATTTTTGTTTTATTAAGACGAATTTAGTATGAAATGCTTAGCACTGTCAGAAGAACTTAATTTCCCTTCCTACTACCTGTAATATTTCAGCTATCATTTTTATCATTGTGTGTTGCAGATTATGCTGCTTTGTGTACTGCATTTTACGTTAGCACTTGTGTTTGTTTTTGTTTTATTTGTGGACAAAGACTTGTAGACAGGTGCAAAAGTAAATCCTCTTTTGCAACCCAGAACTCATTGTTCAGTATGAGTTTTGATACAGACAAGACGGAACAGGATACCTAAAACAGACTCAAGTGATGGGTATTGAACATAAAGATAGCTTCTGGGACTACAGAACTGGTAATTTAAAAGCATAAGATGAGAAATGATCAGTTACATTGATTTAGTACTCTGACTTTGATGTTCACATGAGACAAACATGGCTTCTTTTTTTAGGCTTTTATCTTGACAAGTGTCTGGACTTTACAAAAAAGGTATGTTTTATGCTTTAGGTGAGTTTGGGTCAGATTTGTTTAAATGTAGTATATTGTTAGATAATTTAAAACCTCCATAGATTTCATTATTGAAAGGCATTTTTGCCCATTTTAAATTTGTTTATGATGTAATTTTAGAAAAGGATTCTCAGAATTCACATGTTTTATAGTGATACTGTGACAGCTTCACTTTGCTTGCAGGAAAGGGTCCCAGAACTATAATTTAGTCTGTTAGAATCAGAATCTTGGATCTTCCCACTTTAAACATACACATTTTTAATGAATGCATAATTAAAATGAGGTAGAAGTGTAATAGTGTAATGCTAGAAATGACTACACAGGAAACGATCTCAGAAATCTATAAAATGTAAAAACACCCGGTTGGTTTTCATTGATTTTAAAGTGGTCAGAACATCAGCCAGATTAACATTTTTTGTATTTTTATAATTGATATTAAATAACTAATGAGAAAATAGTTTATATGTTCTTAAATTCTGAGGCAAAATTTCAGTAAGTAAAAAATTTTGCTATAATCTGGAAATTGCATAGGAAAAACACATTGCAGTACTGAAGTTTGTAAAAATCAAGACAAATTTACATGTGGAACTGTTCTGTGGCTCACCTGTAATAGCTACTTGGTACTCTGCAGGTTTATATTAGTATATACTGTCCTTTCAAACATTGTTAAAATCCCTACCATGTGATTAATTCATGGATCATTTCTTTAAATTTCATCCTCCATGTTTTGGCTGTTACACAGTTTTGAATTCATCTAAGAAATTGGAGCAGATCACAGCTCTTGCAAATAATTCTTTTCCCGTGGACTTGTAAAGTGTAAGCAGTGGTTGAGGTCTATCCCGATGGGGCTTTTTCCGTAGACCTACATCGTTGGAAACGCCTCATAGAGTAACTATGTGGTTTCCTTTACTCACAGAACTACATGTTAGATCTGTGGAAAGAACTACAAGACAGCTGCTAAATAAACTATGAAAAACCTAACAGTCAGACTTTTTTATCTTAGGTATTGACAACGATCAGTACTGTTCTAAGGTGTGATAAGCTTAGGTAAGTTTAATTTGGTGACGGTGTAATCTCGGGAGTATCATCTCAGTTCAGATGATGAATTTAACTGTTCAACTGCTGAATGATACAGACATGAAATAAAACATAATTCTGACAGAGCTGAGTGTAGCTAAAATTAGATATTAAGCGTATATTTAGGTTTTTAATCACACACTTAAGTTAACCTTAATCTTTTATTTGGTATTTTATCTGTAGGAGTAACTGATTTGAACTTAATGCATATTTAGAGGTAAGTGGAACATTTAATGTACTAAAAAAAAAAGTAAAATTTCGGTACAGCATTCCATTATGGTTGTGACTAGTAGTTATATAGGTATAAAACAAGTATCAAAATTTTGGCCAAAAATGGTTGCTGTAATATCTGTCCTTACAGAATTGGAAAAAAAAATTAAACTGCATGGGGTAGGGCTACCAAATGAAAATGCCATTTTTTTGCACCTTTTATTAGACTGACATGTAATATGTCACAACATGTAAATATGACAAATATACATAATACGATATTTAAATATCATGACATGTAAATACGTATGCTTGGATATGTTACAATAGGGTGAATTTTTTTAAGGAAAAAGCAATTTGAGCAACCATGATCTAGCGCGTTGTTTCAGTGACTTGATAGTTTCTTGTTTCCTATGTAAGTTAGGGTAAAAATAACCGTGACTAGGTTTATAGTTTAAAATGGAGTTAATGTAGTTATCTCATTGGAATGGCAATTGTGAATAAAGGTCAAATTATTTTACCTGTAATAAATTTTTAAAGATTTGTGAAAATAAGTTTTTCTCAGGTAGCAGCATTTCTCACTTAAAGTTGAGGGATTTACATTTCAGTCTTAGTTGCACTGCATGGTATCTGCATTCAGCAGTTTGTTCCTGCTGGGTGTTCAAAGAACAGTGCAATATAAATTCAGTATCTGGCATCGTTGGTTTTCTTGGCTTTGTGCATGTTAGACCTGGTATTTTTACTGATACAGTATTCCTTTAGTTTCTTACACTGTTGAGTTTGACATAATCTTTAGTAGGAACTAATACTTCTCTTTTTCTAGGGTGTCTGAAATTCAGAACCAGGCAGATCAATCTTCCCTGACCCCAAATACGTAATGTAAGGCTTTCTATTTCTGTTGCTTCTAGCTTATTTGCCTTACTGATAGCATGGTCAGTAAAACAACACAACTTCCATAAAGGCACAGCAGCCTTTTGCGGTGTATATATACACTTGAGAAAATTTTATAAAGCCTCATTCTAGATGAAAATGGGCACTGTTGTTCATGGTGTCCAGAAGTTGTTAATGTGGCTACATTGAGAACACAGGTTTTGCTTCCATCACAGTAATTTTATTGCAGTGGTGACAATGAGACCTGTAACATTTTTTTTTTGCTAGGTTGAATAAAAAGTGAATGTAACAAGACTTTTCAGTATTAGGAAATGATGAAATAATGTATTTTAGATCATTTGCCAATGCCAAAATAGCAATGTACTTCTATATTTAACTTCTAGAGTCCTGAAGTAAATTGCTTGAGAAAATTGGATCCCAAAGATTACAGGTAAGATTTTTATTCTCATATTTAATGAAAAAAAGACGATGTAGAAAAGGCCATTAGGCGCTTTACGGTTTACCAGTGATGTACGATGTTATGATGATGGGCAAAATGTTCAACTGCTCTGAATGGACTGGATGAAAATAGCCTTTCTGAACATCCAATTTACATTAAGCTGTATTTTTTAAAACATGAAAGCTCTAAGGTAAGTTACCTAAAAGATGCATGTTTAGAAATAGCTGATTTGGACTTGTATGACCATCATTCAAAGTTTAGGTCTGAATGAAATTTAACCTAATTTGTTCCCAACCTTTAAATGAACTGGATTGAGAAGATACTCCAATTTGCAATTTTAAACCTGAATTGAATACATGCTAGTTGGGAGTTATGTTTTAGGATATTTTGGAACCTAATCAGCCTCAGTTTCAAAAATTAAGTTCTGTGTAACTTAAATTTTTTTGTCATAGGTGAGTTGTTTTCTGAAGTGTGCTCATGTTCCACTGGAAATCAAAGCCCAGCTAAAAGAATTATGGCAAGTAATTTGTTTCATCTTACCGTACCAAATAGTCAGGGTATAATGGTCATTACCAAGGCTTTTAGAATGCAGTTTCTTATTTGCTGTGGACATGACCATAAAAAAAATTTCCCACTAGGTTTTCTTTCTGCTACTTTGTTAGCGTTCAGCCTACTGGGAACATTTTATTAGCCCTTACTACTGGTATTTCCATTGTCTAGGTCAGCACTGTTCCAATATAAATTTAACACAAGCCATGTAATTTTCTAACCACACCCATACATGACTACTGGTTATTATATTGAACAGTGCATGCCTAGATAGATCCCTGCAGTTCTTAAACCCATTTAATCCTGGGTTTTTAGTTTTCTACAAGTTGCCTGGTTACTAAGGGAAGGGGGAGGCTGGCTTCAGAACTTTACATGAGCATCTCTGAAAACGGAACCTTACTTTTCATATTCTTGTTGGTTGTGTAGGGCTGACTGACAACTATTGATTGACCAAAAATCATTGAAAGGTATGTACACATTAGAGAAAATAATTTTATAGGTCATTTCAAAGAGGGCTTATGGGACCAAAACCCAGGAGCTCTTAACGCTGTGACCAAAGATTGAGTTCTTCATTGGTTGTAATAGTCACTCAGTAGTGCTATGTTTTCCTAATGGAGACACAAGATTTTAAGCACTATCCATGATTGGTGATGTTGGAAAGTAAAAACAAATGTAAATGCCTTCTACATTTAACCGGTGCCTACTCTCTTCTTCAGGGCTGCCTTGAAGATTATATGACTCAGACATTGGAGGAACTAAGGATTGATGGGCAATGGAAAGAATCAGAACATGTGTTAAATTCTTAAAAAGTTTATTGACTTAAATTATGTTACCCAATAAAAAAAACTCTTTACACTTTTTGTAGAAAAAGTCAGTGTGTATTTTTGGCTCGAAGTTTCTCTAGTGTTCTCTGTGGAGGGAACAAAAAGATCAGTTACTGTGGTGATGTGTCTCAGACATGAAGAGTTGGGTGGGCTGGGGGTGCTGCTCACCTTATGAAATTCTTTGGCCCTTGCTCTGTTTTGGGCATATGCTTCTTGCTTTGCTTTCTCTTCCTTTTGCTGTTTCACTTCAGCTAACTGACGGTATAATCTAAGAAATTTATTATATTTATGACAAACACCTCAGACATGTGAATTCATATTTACTTTTGTGTCTATATACACACGTACCTTAGAGCCCTCTGGTGCATATGGGCTTGTGCAGTCTTTCTGTCTTCAGGAAGAGACACTCTAACTTTATTCACACCCTTCAGCTGAAATGAGCCTGAGCAGAGAACAGGTCACTTAATACAATGCTAGATTCTCTGAAAACTGCTGGATGGGGGGGGGTAATCATACCTGTAGGTTTCTCTTTAATTATTTTGGCTTGAGAATTTTCAGAGACACGAATTTTATTCCTTATTTCTTTCTGTCTCTGGGAGGATCTCTCTATAAATGATTTTTTTCTTTTTACAAATGCTTCTTGTAAGGTCTCTGATGTAGCTGGAAAGTTCAGTAGGGTTTCTGTTTTTAAAAAAATGAAGCTATAATAGAGGGAATTTGAATAGGGAACTTCCCACTGGACCCTGGGTTCACTAACCATTTCAGATGCTCAAAGCCATACATACCTGCAGACACAGTTGGCTTCTCCACAGGATGTTCTGATACAGCTGGATAATCTGAATTTTCTGTTTCTGATACAAGAGGCAGAAATTCACTCACCTAATTACAAGAAAGTCACAGGAGACTTTACCACTTCACTTCAGTGTATAGAATTACAGCAGGGATTGTGAATCTTACCCATTCTGAACTCCCTTTTGGTGGACAAAGATGTGCACTGTCACAAATTATTCATTCACTGCTTTGTGTTTGCTTGAACATGCAGCCAATCTCTTAGCTACAATTTGAAATTATTTTCTCTTTAGAACTAAAAAATGCAAAATAAAACTTCCACTAGCTATAGCACCTCTGCTGCCTCTCAAGTCATAACTGGAATTAGTAGTGTCATAAGTATGTAATTATATTTTTATTTTTAAATTGAAGTATAGTCATTTTATAATGTTAATTTCTGTTGTACAGCATGTTTCATAACATTCGATTTCGTATTTTTTCATTATGGATTACTACAAGACATTGAATATAGTTTCTTGTGCTATTCAGTAGAGACTTTTATCTATTTTATATTACTAGTTAATATTTGCAAATCTCGAACTCATCCCTTACCATCCCCTCCCACACCCACCGTAACCATAAGATGGTTTACTATGTCTGAGGAAGTGTAATTATATTTATGAGAGCTATGAAATTTACCTGAAAACAGCTCTTTGCCTCATTTTCTCTCTTTTCTTCTAGGGTTAAGTTTGCAAAATCTGTTTCAGCAATACTGATATCACTGGTGCTTATCAGTGTAAGATCTGGTTCTTCCATTATACCATGGCCAGATTCTGTCTCCTGTGCAGTAAAATTAAAAAGTCATATTCAAAAATTAAATAGTCTTTAAGCATTCAGAATGTGAGAAAAAGTACGTTTAAGACCAAGGCTGTGTTCCCTCCTCCCACCCAACCCACTTAGGAACACCTACTGCATGAATTACAAGTGCAAATGCTTACAGGGAGAGGCAGGAAACAGAAATGCAGGTTGACTGATGGGCTGAGTAGAACTGGAACACGTGTCCTATCTAAAGGGAGCAGCAGCCAAACATAAGGGAAAAATCTTTACACTGAACAAGATTTTGCAATCTGTGGAGGGACGAGGTAAAAGCCATTCAGGTAACTGGAGCTGAAACCAAGCAGATTAACCCAAGGCTCAAAGCGAAAGCACTGAAGCCACTTCTCTTCAGGAAAGCTGAAGAAGGGAAAATGTGAGTTGGGAAGAAAGTGCTATAAAATCAACTTTATTTTTCTCACTTTATTGAACATTTCCCTTGATTGTGAGATTGACTGTCTCAGGAATATTAGCTTTGTTCACAACAAGGTCTTTCTTGAAAATGTTAACAACACAGATTTCACTTACCCAGACTGGAATAGAGCTCTGTAATGAAAATGACCCAGAACTGACAAAGAGTTCTGACTGTGCTAGTTGAGACAGGTTTCCTGTGATTCTTGGAGCTTCTGCTTTAGTTGACTTCTCAAGACATCTTTCATTTGGGACAGTCAGTGAATATGGTGTCTGAATTGAAGTTCCCATCTCCACTGTTGTTGCACACAATTGAGAGTCAATTTCCTCTACTTGAGGATTTATATTTACAACTCCACAGGTTTTATTTTTATCATCTTCAGTGAATCCTTGACCTCGTAACACTGTGTCAACCCCTCTCCCTGACAGTTCTTCAAAGCCCAGTCTGTCTTTTCTGCCTTCCAGTTGGTCTTTTATTGAGCATTCGCTGGAGGCAGAACCACATGGAGTGCTATGCTGTAGATTTAACTGATGAAATACATGAGCCTCACCAGATGAACTGAAGGCTGAACTTTGCAAATTTCCTACGGAGAGCTGGAAATGAACACTTTTTTGTTTGTTTTGTGATTCTTCATTCTGTTCAGAGTAGTTCTGACTTTCCACGCCTTGGAAAGAGTCTCTGGCTTCAATGCTAAAAATACTTGGTAGATCAGCATGCTGGCTCCCTTCCTGTGAAGAAAATTCTGGCAGAAGCTCTTGAAAAGACTGTTCAGACCCTGTAAGAAATCAGTTAATCATAATTATATGCTGTAAAACTTGGATACAAATACAGTCTGAGTAAACTGCAGATAATGTCAGGTTACCTGGAATTTTAGGAGTGAGCTGATGTACACACACACAAATAGAAAGCTAAAGGATGGTCAGTGGTTTCAAATAATTCCACTGCTCACACCATGTATTTTCTCCTCTAGTGTTATTTAATTAAAAAAAATCTATTAGACATGATGACTTTCCCCCATAACAGAATATTGATTTCATAACAAAGACTTAGACTGTATGTCTTATATGGGTTTGTGTGCATAAAGTTTGTACAAAAAGTTTTAGAAGGATACTTAAACTGTTAACTGTAAGGGCTGAGGTACAGCAAGAAGCAGCACTTTATCAAGTTCAATACTGTAAAAATGCAAACTGAGCATACATTACTTCTGTTATTTAAATGAATACACCAACAGTGGTGAGAACAGGAGACTAAGAACTGCTAGACACACTTTCCAAGGAAAACTTAAACAATTATAAAAAATAACTGAGTTTTATCATACCTTCAGTATCTTCTGCAGCAAAACTCTGAGCTGCAGCATGAGCCACGTTAGGGCCAGGCTGCTGGTTCAGGCTGGTGCTGAGAGAGGAGTGCAGGCTGGTCCTCCTCAGTGCTGTAGAAGAAGCTGTACTTCTGGGTGACAGGGCGGCGTGGAGGCTTTCACATGAAGAATCTGACCTCTGATGGTAAACAACAGGGAAAGGATGAAATATTAATGTGTTACCAGCTGACTCAACAATCCTCGTTTCTTTGCTATTACTCTTCCTTAATTACCACTTTACTATCACATTAACAACAGGCTTATTCAAACTCAATTCTTTCATTTTAGAGACTTTTAATTTAGACAACTTATGAATGAACCAGGTAAGAGTTCAGGACATGACTGAATCATTTTCTGATAAGCAGGAACTATGTAGAGCTAACTCAGATGTCAGGCTGTAGGAACAGAAAGACCCAGGTTTGAATCTTAGTTCCTTTATTGTATAGGAAGAAACTAAGTTTTACAAAATTCTGTCTCCCTGACTGTTTAAGTCTAAATTCCATTAAAGTAAACAAACAACCTGAAAACTAACAATAAAAATATCTCAAGCATTTTTGGGTTATCCTAGATGGACATAAGGCTGTTGGGACAAAATTCTAATGTACCCACCTTCAATATTGGTTCCACATTATAATCATTTTATTGGACTACTCATAGCGATTCTGACCTAACTGGTCTCAAGCATTGTCTGGGCACTGGTATTTAAAAACTTTCCATGATTTTAATTGGTTGCCAAGACTAAAATCATTGTTCTATTCTAACAGAAGAAAAGACAAACTGTTTGTGGAAATTCACTGCAAATAAGCATCCACTTTATTTTACCTGGTAAAAGTCTTTACTGTCTTGAAAAATCCCAGAGAATGATGACAAATCAAAATCTGGATGTGGTTCTAAGGGTTTAAACAGCTGACGATGCAAATTTGGAAAACTGCGTTCTAGTTCTGGAAAGTCAAAGTCACCTGTTGGAATTTTAAGGAAAAAAAGGTATTTAAAAAATAAAGCCCAGAAAAGTAGTACTAAAAACATACTCATAAAAGTGTATTTTAAGGTAACTCCAATTGAACAAAATTACTTCCATTTTTTTCCATTACCAGCAGATGCTTTCAAATTAAGTCCTATTATTTCTAATGTACAAAAGGAGTAGGGGGAGGGAGTTTGACAAAGCCTTTGACGGTTTCCACTTCTGCTAGCCCCAAAGTCTTTATGCGGACAATGAGAAGTAAAGTGCCATTACGGTTACTGCTTTGTTGTAATAAGCTCTGTTACTCTCAATGAGCTCATTTCAGGATCAATGATTGTTTAAAAAAGCTCACTGTACTGTTAACATGAGCCAGAAATTGTACTTTATGTGCATTATCTGCAACATTTCTCTCCTACAGAAATGAAAGAGTAACTTGCCCGTGGGCTCAAGTTAGTAAATGTTCACACTAGGACTTGAATCCTGGTCTGTCCAGTTTTCTGAGTCCTCGTACTCAGCACTGGCACCACCACCTCGGCTGCTCCAGCTCGCGCCGCAAAGGCGGGGAGACCTGCTCGTCTTTTCTCCAGGACCTTCAGTCAGTTTCCAGAGCTCCCCTCTCACTAAATGCCCTCCTCAGCGTTCTCCATGTTGTAACTGTGCTACCGCAGGCCATCAAAACACAAAGCTCAAACAATCACTGCTTCAAACTAAAAAGGATGAAAGGTTAAAAGTTAAAATGCTTTTACCCCGCAAGTCTGCTTTTTCAGCCATCAAATTTGCTTCGTTTATATACTTGTCTATCATCTGCTGAATGTGTGTTTGACCAGATGTAAATGTTTCCACTGCAGGTAACAGAGGTTTATGGACGTCCCGAGAGTCCTGCCTTTGGTAAGTAACTTGTGTTGAAGGAGCTAAAGAAGTGAAAACGTTTGTTTCCTCTTCTTTGCCGGCAGGAGATTCTTGTTCCCTATGGTCCACGTGCTCTGAAAATGACTCTGAAATTGGGTTTAATGAAAATATTTAATGGCTAGGTACTTCCTTTGAGACAAATTTTGGTAGAGAGGCAAAGCAATGTACACTGATAAGGAATCGGTACAACCAAGAACTCTGGTCAGGTAGATTCCCACTGACATTAATGGATCCTTCTCAACGTGCGACTGGAGATTGTCATACAGTTATCTCTGTGGGTCTGCGGGCCCGTGATTTCCAGTCATGTTTAGAGTATCATACTGTCCAATGTTCTATCAGACAGGAATACTTTTGGAATTTAAAGAAACAGTCCATCTCAGTACATTGTGGAAAACAACGTTTGCTCTCATCACTGTACTGGCGCTTGTCTTTCAGTTTATTTACATTTTGATATTCTTACCTCGATCTGTAAGGCTCAAATCTGTGTTTTCATAACTTAAAATACTCCCAGTAGAAACTGTTACTGAAGATAATGGCTCATGATAAACTTCTTGTGTTTCAGCCTAAAAATTAAGAGAAGTATTAGGCCACAATGTAGGAAGTAATTTCTAGAAAAAAACCAAGTCACCAACATTAGCAACTAATTCTGAGCTCAGATCAAGTGTAGAAACCTCCACAGTTATAAAGGTCAGTAGTAAAACCTTTTCATCATTGCTCAGAAATGATCGGCCTTTCATACACACACACACCCCCAGCCCATTCTCACTCACACATCAACAAGTCCTCAGTTACCCACTGTCACCTTTACACACATACACACACACACACACACACACCCCTACCCCACACATAAACCCTTATTGTTTTAAATGACTTTACACTTTTGCTTCTCAGAAGTACAGAGATCATGCATCAAGTAGACTAGAAAGTCTTCTGATGCTCAGATTTGGCTATTTTCATCACTGATCCACTTCAGCAAGAGCAGATCTCAGAAAACACAGGCTTTAATATTCTACAACTTCCGTTAAACTAAAAAGAGTATGAAGCCAAATAGCTCTAACAAGGCAGCTCAAGACATTACCAACCTTCTCATCTGGCTTCACACTTGGACCCAGATATGGATGCTCTTCCTTCTCCACAGCGTGGCTTAATACTGCATGATTCTCAGCCACAGCCTCCTCGACTTTGACTGAAATGGGGGTGCAGGTGGATTATGACAAATCAAATTCTTTAACACCAGAGGACATAATTTCCTGATTTCCTACAATTTTATTTCATATTTTGCTTTGTAGAGTTGCCTTATCTTAGACCAAAAATTAAAAAATCACTGTCATTATTTTAAGTGAAGAGAAACAAGAATATTCAATCATAAATACAGTATGCTCTTAAAGTGGAGAAAAGTAAACATAAAAAAGACAAAAACACCAAAGTGCAAAGTGGTTGCTTATGACTGGAAGGACAAGGAGGAATTTTACTTCTTTATAACTTGCAGTGCTCTCTAAAGTCATGAGCATGTATTGCTTTTATTATAAATTATTATTTGTAATTATATTTGACATATTAAAAATATATAAAAGTTATACTTTGTATTAAAAATTCAGGTATTCTGAGTTAGTTTTTCTCTTACTCCCAACAGCCAACATTTGTGAGAAAGCTGCCCAAAGTATATGGTCATCTGTGCTCTGAAACAGAATAAAATTAAAACTGCTCCACCAAATAATAAACTAGTTTGTCTCATTATCACCACATAGATAATGCACATTAAAAGTATGTTTCTTAAAAGTTTGTGTAAGAAATGTTTTCTAAGTCAACTATACTTCAATTAAAAAAAAAAGTCTTCTAAAAGGTAACCCAGGACACACACACACACACATACGTATCTGTATATGTGAGTGGATGTATATGTTAATTCATAAAATGATATCTATGTTACAGATAGATTTTTTAGAAGTTTTATTATTAACTTTATTAAGTTGAAAGAGCGCAAATACCAAATAGTATATTTAAATATAATTGTTTTTAAATACAATTTTTTTACTCTCTCCCATTCTCGTTTAGTTAAAAATATACTATTTTGACAACTGATTTAACCACTAAACCATTATTTGGTTGTGTCTTTACATATGAAAATTTTAAGTGAAGAAAATAAGAGATGATGAAATTTGATAGCAAGTTGTTATCTTTTTTTAAGCAGCTCATTTCAAAAGCTAGGTTGGGAGCTGAAAATTAGGTATCTGTCATTTCATAATCACAATTCTGCAGCTTATAAATCAAAGAAGATTCCCCCAGAGGAGGGTGACCAGGGTAGCATTTGGGTAGTGGTTAAGTATTGGAAAATAAAAATGAGAGAAAGAAGCGAGGTCGGAGTTATTTAAGATGTTGATGAATTCAATGGATGGGTCCCTGAAAGCAGTTGGAAGAGAAATATCACTACTTTGGATAGGGACCATTAGGAGGTGCCATCATGAAAGCGACCTTAAACACAGTAATCTTCCCACACTGCTATGCAAGAAGGCAACATGTTTTGCTGTCCTTCAGAAGCAAAGCACCATTTCCTGCTTTCCTACAAAACAAAGCGTAGAGCTCGAAGCTTGTGGTACCACCTAAAAAGCTGCTGAGAAATCACGTTGAGGTGATGAAGACCTGAAGAAACTGGTAGGGAGGGAACAGAGAGTAACAAAAGGACACCCCTCCCCACTTGTAAGACAGAAACTAAACAACCCTGGGAACGATTGTGAGAAAGAGACAAGAAGCCCGAGGGCCAGGAGCGGACGCGGCACTAGCAGCGAGGCCTGGCCGTTCTCCTGGTAAACACGAACAACTTCACAGGACACAAATGTCAGAAAAGGCCACTCTGTCACTATGATGGATGAAGACAAAAATCAGACCATCAGTCTTCACATCTGAACATAGGCAAAACCATGAATAGTGTCCAAACCACAAAAATGACCAAGCATCTCCTTATCCCGGCTAACGTGAGTGACCGCTGCGTTACCAGTTACAGCTTTACTTAGCCTAATTCCATTATTCCTACCTCCTATGTAAGAATTTTTTTAGGTATCTGATTAATAAAATTACCCCTGCTTCCTGACAATATCCAATACTAATAAGCAAAGCCCCCTTTGCTTGAACCGCTCCCCTCAATCACCTAATAAAAGCACAAATCTAAAAAGTCCTTTCTAACACCCTCTCACTCATTCACCTCATGGTTCCCCACGGTGCGCATTTTATCTCACCGCAGCAAGTCAAAGCACCCTGCTTCTCTTCAATTACAGGTGTGCTTGGTAGTCATTGGCCAGAGGATGCTGGCAGGTAGAATAAAAAGGAAATGCAAGTATCCACTGGCTAAATCTAAAAGAATAGTGATGGTGTTATTTTAAAATGTCAAAAACTGTAATTCACTGGAAATTTTACTTGTAGGTATTTCAATCTCCAATGAAAAAAGGAGATGCTAAAGCCAATTTTTCTGTAAGCCCTCAAAAAGGGAGCATATCTCCCTCATCTCTCATTCTATTCAACTCTAGATACAACTAAGAAAGCAATTATCCAAGTGTATGTGACCACTAAAACAAAAAGAAATCTGGTTAGAAAAGGTAACTACTTAACAGGTGCTTTACAACCAATAAAGCAGCACTGGAACTGTGCTCTGTGGGGTCACTGTCACACACATGAAACAGCTTGTTTTAAGTGTGCATGCATCCAAAAGCAAGAAAATTAACACTGGTTGTCTCTGGGTGGCAGACTTAAGTTATTAAAAGTCTTTTCCTTATAACTCTTATTTTCCAAATATTTAGAAGTAAACATAAAGCAGCTCATTCAGAATGCCATAGAATTTTTAAAAGATGATATTTAATGGAATTTAATTAAATCTGGATTGTTACAAATAGGCTTAAACACCATCTGTAGAGGTTGCCAACTGTAAAAACCTTGTACCCTCACGTACTTCCTACTAGCATTTACTCAGTGCAACAATTTAAAAGTGAAATTTCTTATTCTCTAAATAAATTTCACTTCCCTCATTAAACTTTTCACATACAGAAACAATACATGCCTCTTGTAGAAAACATTTCTTTTACAGTATGTGAATGTATGAAATAAGAAGTGAAACCCAATCTCCAACAAAGGGTAACCTGTACAACGCACTGGTGATTCTCATTCTCGAGTTTTCAAATGCATGAACACAGCCTTCTCCCCTCATTTAACACCTTCACGAAACCGCACAGTTGGGTATGATTCTATTAGTGACAGTCACTGAGGTCATTTACCGTTTGTCATTACAATGGCACTACAGTGACTATTTTTTGTCCACAGCAACTCCACTCTCAATTTCTTCCTCTCTCACCTGCTTCAGCAGAGTCGGCATCACGGATGTTCTCCTGGGCAACTGGGTGAAGGTGACCACGTGGATCACGGTCCAGGGGGCTCCCAAGAAAACTTTGTTCTCGACTTATTGAGACCCTCAGGGGGTCCCTGTCTTGATAAAACTCTGATTTACCTGGGAGGTGAAAAAAATGGACTCACTAGATTTCCACAAAAATGGCAATTTAGACTGTGGGTAAAAATCCGAACTCTTAAAGACTTGAACTATGCAGCAAGAAAATAATAAATGCTTAACTTTCACACGGCCTTTAAATTATTTTACTTCAATTTTACTAAGTTTTAGTGATAGACCTACTTCCTATAAAACCAGATAATGCTTCAGTACTGACTAATTATAGGAAAAATGCCTCGAGAATTCACTAACCATTAAGTATTACAAGGTATAATGTGCATTCATAATATAAAGTTGAAAAATAGCCACAGCTAATCTGTGGTATAAGAGATCGAGGCAGGGGTTTACCCTGGGGAGAAAAGGAAGAGTAACTGGGAGGGTACAAGGGAAGAGTTTATGGCGTTCTCTAAGATTCCAGTTCCTGGCATGGATGGGGTCTACCTGAGGGTGATTATCAAAGTGATAATCACTGTGATAAACACTTATGATTTGTACACTTCTCTGAATGTTACACTTTGATACAGAAATAAAAACAAGCAAATAAAGGAGTGGGAGACACTGAAAAGTAGAAGCTAATTTACTGTGCAGAACCCCAGAAACACTTGGGAATTAAAGGCACCAGGTATTATAAAAGGTGTGTATCAGGGGACTGAAAACAGGGAGAAGGTTTAAAAATATGTACCCTGAACAGATCCCTCCCATCACCTGAGATCCCTGTCCCTCGACATCATCCCCAAAGAAGACTAAAGGCTTTATATTTTGGAGAAATTGAATCACATACACTCTGCATGTGATCAAATTTTGACTCTCAAACTGGAAAACTGTCAAAGGATCACTTTTCCAAGGGGAGAGGTGCCATAGTTGACAGGATCTGAACCTGTGTGGGGAAATCCCAATGGATTTCTAGTCCATCACCTTAACCACTTGGCCACAACTACGTGAATCCAAATACACTCTGAATTTAGGGGGATCAGGCACTGAGAGGGGCAAGGGTAAAAGGAAGAAACAGAATGCCATAAGGAAATAGAACGCAATAAGGGGTATTAAAAGAAAGTCTGCATCCTCAACTCAGATCCCCTGAGTCTGGCTCCATGACAGCAACAGCCAGGCTTGTATCAAGCTTGATGGATCTTTTTTTGAAGAAACTAAACTAAATTGCTCAGGGAAAAGAACCACAGATACTAAGTTTAGGGCCCTCAATGAAAGGCCATCTTTTCCAATGAAATCTAGATGTAAATAAGGTCCCTACCTATAGAATTTCCAGTCAGACTTTTAGTGTCCCACTTAAAATGCAAGATATTAGAGAAAAGCTCCTAAAATATCAGATAGAAACAACAACAAAAAAGGGAACAAAAGAACTCAGACAAACAGAAAATACAGGAATCCAAACAAACAAAAACCTGTAAATATTCAAAGTGGGTACTATTTTCCACCCATAAAAAAACAACAGCAGGATGTTGTGGTAAAAAAAAAAAAATCAAGAAAGAGAGCAAGCTTTTAGAAACTACAGTTTGAGAGCCAAATAAAAATTCCCAAGAAAAGTTACAAGAAAAAGCTGAGAAAATTCTCCCAGAAAGTAAAACCAAAATAAAAGGAAATGAACTATACAGAAAAAAAGAAAACTGGAAGAACAATATAGATCAGTGTTTCTCAACATGAACTTCATCACCACCCACCTAAGCAGCCTTTTTAGACTTTCTTCCCTAACTGCCTCCTAACTCTGTGAAATTTAATAATTATAGATATACTGTCTATCTTTTAATGTACATCTGTGCTTTGGTACATAAAAAGCAAGACTTTTTCATCTCTCCAAGAACCAATCTTCGTCCCCTTTGGGGGTACTAATACTCTTGTTAAGAATGCATGACACAGGTCATCCAATTTCCAACTGAAAGTTATCCCCACAAACAGAGAAAATGGTATGATCTCAAATTATTTTAGCAGTATTTAACATCTGGCCTAACTTTTGCTAAAATCCACTGCCAACTACAGAGATAAATACAAGAAACACCTAGAAGACTTGAAAAGTGACTGCCTCTCGTGAGCAGGACTAAGGGGTAGGGGGTGTGCAGGGGTAAGAGGAAATGTCTTCATGTTGTAGCCTTTCAGCACTATTTGCCTTTTTAAACTACTTGCCTATAATATTTCGATTGAAAGTATTGCCCAAAAGAAATGTGGTAAAGGCTATGGTGAAGGCTCCCAAAGAGCACACGAGAGGGATACGTGAATAGTTCCGGTCAAGTTTACGCCACACAAGTGGTGCTCAACCCTGAAGGAAGGGAGCGAGATCATGAAGTGCCTGGTGGGTGAGCTAGAGATGTAAGACTTAATTTAGACTGATTCCTCGAGTCAAAGGGAAACCACTGAAGAGTTTTAAAAAGAGAGAAATAGAGGAAGATTACTCTGAGCATAGCAATGGGAAAATGAATGAGTAAAGCTAGACTAGAAACAGGGAGACACTGGCAGTTGTAGCAGCCCTTCAAGAAAAGAAATGAGACCCTGAATTAAAAGAGTGGTAGTGAGACTGGAAACAAGAGGACAGATTCCAGAGCTGACCAAGTAGAACCGAGAACTGGTAATTTGTTGGGTGTCGGAGAGATGTAGACAAGGGAAAGTGTCAAGACTTCCATCTGGGTACTTTTCACTGAAGAAAAGACTGAAGGATAAGGAGGTGAAGGTGGGGGAACATACAGCTTTCCCTTTTAGACAACATGACATTTTTGCAACCTCTAACATAACTCATCAATGGTGAGAACGTCCCAATGCTCACTCTGAATTAGGGAAAGCACCATGTCCCTGAACATTTGTGCTTTGCCAAATAGTGCAAAAAGGAGAAAAGCTTCAAAGCCTAGTAATAAAATCATTACTTTATGTTATAATTTCCATAACACACAAGAAGAAACTAGAAGGGGGAGTGATTCTTCAGAATTATTCTGAGTCTCGATTTTCTTAAACTCTTTCAGCCAGAAGCAAAGATGTAATATTTCATGGCTCAGGACTAAAATAGCTAATATTAACATTACACTTCTCTGAACCTTTCTACTTTCAAAGCTAATCTTCTGCCCTTAAAGAAGGACTTGCTTTGATAAATTTGAAAAAGAAAATTATTTGGTCTGAAATCTAGAAATAATTATAAAATTCAAATAGGCTATTTACTAAGGACCGGAGGGAGGAATTCTAGATAACTGAATCTAGGAAGAAGTACAGTGAAGAAATATACCTGTTCTGTCCTTAAAGCCAGGACTTTAAGCATCAATATTATCCTGTGAAAGATACAGGAAAAGAAGAGTGAAGGTACCAAAGTGAAAGAGCAGCAAGGGAAAAGAGAAGAGACTGAGTAACACCCTAAAGAACCTGGTTTAGAACACAGACATGAAAGGAAGCAGAGGGAAGCAAGAGTGTCAGAATACGGGTATCAAAGAATTTTTGTCAACAATAAATTGCTTTTCCCCATGCATAAGACAAAGAAACTGGTTACCTAATGACACATTTCTTTAAGCCCACATTTTAAATACTGTTTATGTAAACCACTTTTTTTCCTTTCATGAATACTCACAGGCTAAGTCCCTACAACAAACAAAAATTCAGCATCCTGAAAAAAATGTAGAAAACTGGCAAACTTAGAAAACCATCTGTTTACCTAGCATAGAAGTTCTGCCACTTGCTGGTGATTCTACCTCTTGTATAGCACTAAGTTCATGTGGGGTCAAATCCAATCCACATTTAACTTTTGCTACAGGTGGCTTTGAGGGTCTCCTACCCACTTCTTTATCCAGATGCTCACCTATCAAGTCAACAATAAAGTTAGGCACAATATAAATCTGTTAACACACAACAAGCTTTTGTTCAACTAGCAAGCTGCAGGAGGTAGGAAAAACAAGAAGCATCGTCAGGATAATCAGTACAACAAATGCAGTTATCTTACCACTTTGCTTGGCTTTACTATCTTCAGAAAGGAGCTGATTCTCATCACAGCTGCTCCTATCTGCAGGACTGATGTTTTCCTGATCATCTTTTGCTAGATCTTGGAGATGAGGAAGCCATTCTTTGAGCTTCTGGGTTTCAAAATTATTTTCAACTGTGGGCTTACTTGTCTGAAGAAGTAGACATATGAGGGTGGGGATGACACGATAAAGGATCATGTGAAGAAGTTATTAGATTTGCATCTCCCTTCTTAAATTAGAACCTCAACCAAATAAATAGGTCCATCAACCACATTATTAAAACTTTATCTACAGATTAAAAATGAGAAATGCTTCTAATACTGAGAGGGTAATAATTCCATTGAAAAGTAGAACCAACCACAGCTTTGGACCTAAAAATGTAGCCTCCACTGTATCTTTCAATAAGAGATTATACTTGTACTCCTCTTTGCTCTTCTTTTTCCATTACTTTTCCTTAAAAAGACCAGTAAATCCCTAGAACTCAAGTTCTCATGAACTCAACTCAAGCTTCTGGGCATCAAAGGATCTGTAGAATTCTATTTAGGCTAACTCAAAAATTTAGGAAGTGACCTTTCAAAATAAAATGGACACATTCATACTTAGGAGAATATATTTTCTCCCATGTAGAGAAACTATGAACAGATGTCTCTGAGTGACCATAACAGAGTCCTCTTAACAACCTGATCACAAGCAACAGGGCCAGCTGTCCATCAGCCTAAAATCACACCACTTTCATAACAGGCAATGATACTGATACTGCCACTTAAGGAAAAAGACAGTACTGATTTTGATTCTGTACCAGTGTCAACAAGTGCTTTACAGAAAGCACAAAGTCCGCTACTTACCTAAGAGGAACTCTGCGGACTAGTTATTTTACAATTTAATCTTCTTGTGGTAGCTCAAAACCCTTTATAACGAAACTTCAAATGGCAATCTATATTTTTAATGATGTTTGAGTTTGGTTGTTATCAAACTACTGGCTGAAATTAGTTGGGCTTTGAATAACTACTAACCTTATAAACATCACGCAGGGTAGATCAGTTTTTATGCTTTAATTTCCATGTTGTTTAAGGTAGAAAATTAAAGCACAGTTAAGGGCAAGCCATTTATTCTCAGTAACTAAGAACTTACTTTGGCGTAGGTTTAAAACGAGTATTTAGCTTGGCTGAGTTGGGTCACCGCCAATGTTTTATTCTTGGACATTCAAGTTTATACATACCTGACTGTTTTTAAGGAAATCCTTCAAAGTCTCTTGATGTTTCTGTATCTGCTGCTGTAATGCTGCTTGTCTCTGTACAAGCAATTCTTTTCGGGCTTTCTGACTATAATGCAGAACTTCTCTTTGTAGGTCCAGCTGCTTCTGAAGTCCCAAATTATCTTGCTGAGCTAAGACAGGCTGTGAAAAACTCAAAAATCTATCTTGAAGTCTTGGGCTCATAGAAACGCTTGAGGGAGCTGCATGTTCATTCTTGGCTGAATACAATTCATCGATGTTTTTAGACTGTACCTCAGCAAAAGGCAGTGGAATAAATGAATGCTCTCTTTCCATGGGTAGAAACAAAGAGGGAACAGCGTGCTCTGAAGACTCACTTTCAATCGGCTTTGTCTGTCTGTTTAAAAGCAATTCTTCCTGGGCTTTTTCAGTAAAACGCAGCATTTCCCTCTGTGCACCCAACTGTGCTGACACATGATCTTGCTGAGACAGAACAGCCTGGGAGAAACTCAAAAGCCTGTCCTGAGACCCTGGAATCCCAGGGTGACTTGAGGGAACAGTGCTGCCACTTCTGGTTGGAGAAGCCTTTCGGGTTCTTTCAGAGTCAGCAACAGGCAGTGCTGTCTCAGATAAGGATGAAGGGGTGCTGGTCTGCTCAGAGGATACCCCTTTCTCCAATTCACTTATTCTTTGCAAAAGCAGTTCTTCTCGGACTTCGTTTTGTGTATCTAACTGCTGCTGCCGTGCCTTCAAATCACCATGGTGAGGCTGGATAAAATGCTCAGATGACTTGTCCTCAAATTTATATTGTCTGGGCAAAACCATTTCTTTCTGGGTTTTCTCAATAGATGGAAGGGAATTTGTCTGTGCGTACAAGTGTTCTTGTGGAAAGGTAATCGGATAATCCTGCTCAGGTGCAACGGGCTCTGGTAAACCTGTAAGCCCACCAGGCGACCGTAGTACCTCAGAGCGCCCCGAGACTACATTATCACTCTTAGTCGAACAAGGTTCTTGGATTCTCCCAGATTCTCTAAGAGGTAGCGGACTAAAAGGATGCTGCACTAGGAAGGAAGGGGTGCCAGCCTGCTCAGGGGATGCTCTTCCCTTCCACTCACTCTGTTCACGCAGAAGTGACTCTCCCTGAGCTTCCTGTCTAGACTGAATGATGGCTTCCCTCTGTGTAGCCAATCGTTCTTGAAGTGCCCTCAGATTATCTTGTTGAGGATGAATGAGTTGTGTTATCTTCAAAAGCCTGTCCTGCAATTGCGGGATCTGAAAATGGCTACCATCACTCTCTACTGAAAGAGGTTCCTGGGCGGTAAGAGACTCAGCAGAAGGCAATGAAGCCGATGAAAGCTGTCCTAACCAAGGTACGAACGACAGGCCAGCTTGTTCAGAAGACACGTTTCCTTGGGTTTCCTGGCTAAGATGAAGGGCCTCCTCTTCCGGGTCTAACCTTCCTTGGTGTCCCTCCAAGTCATCTCGCGGGGTTTGTACATGCTGTGAAAGTCCCAGAAGTCTTTCTTGAAATCTTGGGATCTTTGAATGGCTTAACGGAACTGGACTGTCACTCTTGAGTGACATAAATTCCTGGAATCTTTCAGATTCAGCTCCCTGAGACAGGGATAAAGAAGTACCAGTCTGTCCAGAAGAGGTTTTTTTTCCTAATTCATTTTGTTTGTGCACAATTTCCTGAGTTTCTGGTTTAGCACCAAGTGTTACCCACTGAATGTGTGACTGACCTTGGAGTGTTGTTAAATTTTGTTGCTGTGGAAGGCTGCACTGTGGAAAACGAAGAGACGCATCCTGAAATGTTGGCATTACCAAATGACTTGAGGGAATAACACTCTCCTCAGAGAAATAAAAGTTCTGAATTCTTCCAGGCCCAGTTTTAGAAGCTTGTGAAGCAACTGAACGGTGAGCGACTGTTGGTGGGAATGAAGAACTCATCTGCACAGACTTCGAGGCTCCCGAATTCCTCTGTCTACGTAGAAGTAATTCTGCCTGGGCTCCATGCCTCGCCTGAAGAGCATCCCTCTGTGTCGTCAGCTGCTCCTGGAGCAACTTCAAACTATCATGCAAAGGCAGGAACTGCTGTAGGAAACTCGAAGATCCATCATGAGATTTGGGGATTTCAGATTGGCTCGAGAGAAGTCCCTTCTCACTCTTAGCTGAATATTGCTCCTGGATTTTTTGAGACTGAGTACCAGCAGAAGGCATCGAAGTAAATGTACGCTGAGCTACCTGAGATGGGAGAGAAGGGGACTCACTCTGCTGAGCCCATACTCTCCCATCCAATTCACTCTGTTTACGTACACGTAATACTTCCTGGGCTTCCCGCCTAGCCTGAAGGCTGTCCCTCTGAATATTTAACTGCTCTTGGAGAAACTTAAAATTATCTTGCTGTGACAGGATAGGCTGTGAAAAACTCAAAAGCCTAGCTGGAACTTGTAGCGCCCCTGGATGGCCTGAGGAACCTGCAGTCTCATTCTTGGTTGGAGAAGATTCCTGGATTCTCCCTGATTCAGCTTTGGCAAAAGGCAGTGAAGCAAACGAATCCAGAGGTACCAATGGAAGGAATACAGAGAGGCCAGTTTGCCCTTCCAATTCTTTCTGTTTGCACAAAAGCAATTGCTCCTGAGTTGCCTGTCTTGATCGAAGAACTTCCTTCTGTAGGTCTAACTGTTCTTGGAGGGCCTTCAAATTATCTTGTTGGGCTGTGATAGTCTCTGAAGACGGCAAAAACTTTTCCTGCATTTGGCCAACTACATGATGGTTTACAGAAGCTATACTTTTGCTCATAGCTGAGAAGGGTTCCTGGATGTCTCCAGACTCAACTTTAGTAGGCAGACAACTAAAAGAACGCTCAGGTACCAATGGTAGGAATAAAGAAGGTTCGATTAGCTTAGAAGATACACTTTCACTGTCCTCTGACGCTTGCTGGGAGTCTGAAGTTGGAAAAGCTGTTGCCCTAGATGTTTCAGCTCGTTCTCTAGCATCTTGTAATGTCAGTGGCTTATCATGTGACAAAGCTCTTGAAAGTGTATGAGAGTCTTTAGGGACCAATTTATAGTCTCTCTGTTGTGCTTCAGACTGTGAGAGTTGCTTTAGCTGCTCTTGTGGTTCCAAAGCTTGCTTGGCCAAAACATCTAAAGTGATTAATGTTCCTGTTGTTTCTACCTGTCTCTGTGGAAAGCACTTTTGTCTTGGAACCTGAGAATCTTGCTCTGATTTGGACATCTGCATAGGCTGCACAGGTTGATGTTTGTCAGGACTTAACTTGGGTCTCTGACCTTGATCCTGATGCTCTGATATAACAGCAGGTTGTTCAGATTCCTGTGGTGGTACTGATGCAACAGAATCAGATACCAGTGGCGTAGCCGACATGGATGGGTACTTTTCTCTTAACATAGTCTGATATTCCAGTAATCGTTTCCGGGCTGTTTCAACAGACTGTCTGTGAAGCCTACCCAAAACAAACAAACATTATTGTTTTTTGATGGAAAAAATGCCCCATGTTCTCAAGTGTCTATACATTAAATTCAACAGACTGCAATCTAGGGGTGGCCATCATCATGGCAGAAATGGAACAATTTAACATTGCCCTTTGAGAAATCTACATGCCATGGTTCTAAGGGAATCTCAATTAGATCTTCACATAAACCAAATAATCCTGAGGATGTAGCCACACACTACCACATATAAACTGTACCCCAGCTAATACCTGTTTTGCTGTAACAGCTGTTGTTGATAGTTACGAATCATCTGCCTATGACTATCTTCATCAGAAATTACAGTGCCTGATGCTGGAGCAGTGCCAACCTAATAAAAGACAAAGCTACTAATTAAAGGGAAATCCAGAAAGAAGTATTAAACTATTTTACATAAACTGAGGTTCTGTAACTGTAAACTTCCATATAGCTTTTATTCGTTTTTTAAATAAAAAAAGACTAGCACAGGGGGTGGGGTTTAGCTCAGTGGGAGAGGCTTGCCTAGCATGCAGGAGGTCCTGGGTTCAATCCCCAGTACTTCCACTAAAAAAAAAAAGACTGGCACTTCCATTATTAAAAAATGAAGTGATCTACCACTCTCCTTTAGTGTCAGGTCCAAGAGCTCAACATGCACACTACATAAAAATCACAGTCACATGTATTAGCACCCTCCAGACACTAAAAGACAAAGTCATTAGGTTTGTAAAAACTTATTTGTATACACACATTATTTTAAAAAATTATCAAATACGAATTAGAAATGTATTTTACTTTTCTGAGTGCTAAGATTGCTCCTACTTTCTTATCCACCAACAGTCTATGTAGGGATGAGATTTCCCGCATCCTACCCCAGTCTGCAGAGTTTTTTTTCTCTTTTCTTCTTCCAGCTGAGCCCTGAAGCAATCAGTTTCTAATCTTAACTTCTGTTGTTCAATTTGTTCAAGTAATTCCAACTGCTTTTGCTTCTGTTCTTCTATTTCCATTATCTAAGTAACAAAAATGCTATTGATCTATTAACAAAAACTCACACAAATGAAAAGTTTATATGCATTACATTAAAAAGAAAAAGGTCTCATAGCCAAGAGTACCCATTATCCAATAAAAAATGATGTTCTATCTGTTACTGCCACTGCCAGAGGGAGGAAGGGAGCAAGACAGGAAAAGGGGAAAAGAGAAAAAGGAAGAAAATTAAAGCAGCACAAGAGGATGAAAAAATGCAGAGTAACTACTGTTCTCTGGGAGCACAGGGAAACCTTGATCATCCCTGAAGAACCACCTCCAGAGAGGTAGCAAGTTCCATGCTCATATCTTTAATTTTACATTGTTCTCAGTAAGGATAATGCCTTAAGAAATTAAACGTCAAGTCCCCTCCAAATACTTTGATTTCTCAGGCATACTCATATATAAGTGTAGTTATCTAGAAGCCAAATAACAGCTCATTCAGTCTTTTCTGTCAGGTGTGAAACAGATGGGAAGACAATGGCAGAGGGATGACACATAAACTCTAAAATTAGACCAACACACACGAATCCACAAAATAAGAGCAGACGTTAGAGTAACTGTAAGATTTGTGATGACAGGGACTAGTCTGTCTGGTTACCTGTTAAATCCAACACTAATAGTCCTTGAAACACACATAATAAACATTTGCTGACTAAACAGAAAAAGGGACATATGTCAAGTTTTATTAAGAGGAATAATTCTACTAAAAATAATGAAGAATGATCTTGTTTTCAAAATAAAAAATGTCTCAGTATGATACTACCTATTTCTAATCAGGCCATAGTGACTAGAGCTGAGGTCCTGTCTTCATCTTCCTTACTTTCCCTCACTCATAGAAGCCACTGAATTTAAACCACTTACAGTTCTGTAGTACCTCTAGAACTGCACTACCAACACGGTACTCACTAACTACATGTGACTATGAAAATTTAGATCAATCCAAAATAAATACATTTTTAAATTTAGTTCCTCAGATGCACTACTCATATTTCAAGTATTCAACAGCCCATGTAACTAGCAGCTACCATACTGGACATAGATGTGGAACATTTCCATTACTGTGGAACGTTCTATTGGACAATACTGTTTTAGAATATTGATTAGAAAACACTTATATGAGAAGAAATACTGGCTCCTAGAACTGTCACTCCCAGCTGTATTTTTATAAAAACTATGGCTATAAACGGACTGGCTTAGTAACAATTAGCCTCTTTCAAGGTGATCTGTGTTAAGAAAATCTTTCATTAAAGTAGAAAGGACCAGCCAGAAAGATAAAGCAAGATGCAGCATGATATTGCTTATATATGGAATCTAAAACAAAGGGCACAAAAGAACTTATCTACAAAACAGAAACAGACTCACAGACATAGAGAACAAACTTATGGTTACCAGGAGGCAAAGGGGGTGGGAAAGGATAAATTGGGAATTCGAAAACTGCACCTCTTGGGGAGTGATGGCTATCTCAAGATAGTGTTAGCTATCTTGATTGTGGTGATGGTTTCATTGGTGTCTACATCTTATCAAAATTCATCAAATTGGACATCTGAAATATGTGTAGTCTACTGTACAGGAACCATACCACAATAAAGTTGTTAAAAAAAAGTAGAAGGGACCAATATTATACCTACAGAAGTTGGATTTTAAAATTTCCTCTGAAATACTTTTTTCAAAAAAACTTCTGGGTTTACAAAGCCCAGCAGAATGTTTAATATTGCTACAGAGACTCATTCATTCAACAAATATTTACTGAGTACTTAACTCTGTATAAGGCACTGACCAGAAACTATGTAGGATAAATAAAATTTTTTAAAAAGTCTCTGCCTTTAAAAAAAGCTGATAAATTTTATAGGGAAGATAAGATACATATCAGAGTATAAAACATCAAGCAGAAGCAGTAAGGGCCAAAGGAGCAGTATAAGCAAAGATAAAGTACTTCCTATCAAATGAAAGTGTTAAGACAAGGTAGAAGAAATGTATCAAAAGCTGCCCGATGTTAGGACAAATTTCACTGGGCAAACACAACTACAGTGCCTAAGGAAGGAAAGAAGCCTTTAAAGATAAAAATGTCAAATTACCTGTTTCTGCCTTGCTGCCATTCTAATTCTGGCTGCTTCTTCGTGAGGATGAAGCAGAACAGAACTCTGAGCTACAGCTGTGATAGGCTGAGTCTTGTTCATTTCTAAGAGAATCCCCAAAGCAAAATTAGTTTCAATACTTTTGAATTTGATACCACTATAATGCCCTTTATTCATTTATTACATGTAATTTTATTAGGTAAAAGATTCAGTCAAGCAAATTTAATTTGAGGATGTGATTAAAAATACCTTGTTTCTTTTCAGAGTCTGCAATGTATGAAAGTGGTTTATCTTCACTAGTAAGTGGTCCAGAGTCAACTGTTAGGGTGTCACTTTCAACAACTGTAATAGATAATTATGAACATATCATCACTATCAAATTTAAAGCTGAACAATGTAACAAAAATCTACATTCTGATTAATAATTCAATCTTGGTCCACCTGAATGATTTATTTACTATAGATGACCACATATTTTATCCAATAAACTTGAGCCTAATATAAAAAGATAGGTGTAAGACTAAAATTATAAACAAAAAGGAAAAAACGGAGAACTGATTTAAAAGATAGGCCAACAGAGTTTCCAACACAGTGTAACTGTATAAAAAGAGTAGACTAAGCAGGGCACCAAAGTGTAAAAGGAGAAGATAAAGAAATTTAAATGTATCTTTGACATATTTAGATACTAGGATCTTCATTATTTGTGAAACCAGAGCAGAGAAGGAAGTTAAAGCAGTTCACTTTGATCATACCAGGGCAGCCAGAAGCTCTGTGCGGAACATTCAGTCACTTACTTTTTCATTCTGTACCTACTATGTGCTGCATGCACATTCACCGAGGTAAGAAAAGGCCTCAAGGAGGTTTTACAGAGGAGGTGGGGAATAGAACATTATATAATTATCCTAGAAAAAACTAAAATTAGAAACTGTGATAAGTACTATGTAAGAAAAATAAGGGATTATACAATAGAATACTTCAGGGGAATCTGAATTAGACCAGGAGCTCAGATGAGATTTCTCTTAGGAAATGGCATTTAAGTGGACACTTGAAAGGTAAGGAGAAATCAGCCAGGTAAAGAATGTGGGAATGTACAGACCATTCCAGACAGATAAGTGGGTATTAAGACCTTGTGAGGATTAAAAAAAACTTAGACAAAAGGGAGAATGAAGCCAGATGAGACTAGAAAAAGTCTACTCAAAAACAGGGCCTTTCCCAAAATAACTGTTATGAACTGATGACGAAAGAGCCCTCAAGAGTTACAAGCCACCATATTCTTTTCTCTCCTCCTCCTTTGGTCACCCCTTTATACCGCCTTTGCTGTTTGCCCTTCACTAGCCATTTCTATATGCTGGAGTCCCTCATGTCATCTTATAAGCCCTATTTTTCCTCACTGAATTTTTTTCCTTACAAGTTCTTCCACGCTCATGGCTTTAAATGTCATATATATGTCTGACTTCCAAACTTACCTCTCTTACTTTGTAAGCTATTCAATTAATTCAGCAAGTATTAACTGAACACCTTTAAGTACAAGGCACTAGTCTAGGCTCTGCAGACGTAGTAGTGAACAAAATCATATTTCTATATTCCAGGACTGGAAGATGGGCAGGGTGGAGAGGTGTAGGTGTCAACACAAGAAGCATATAAGCAAGAAAGTAAATTTATGGTCCATCAGACGCTGATATGGAGTAGAGGTGATAAGGAGTGAAGAATAAAGGGTTGGTGGGGGAGGTACAGAAGCTTGCTGTTTTATATAGTGGTCAGAAAAGGCCTCAGAAAGTGCTATCCGGGCAAACATCTGAAGGAAGTGAGTGAGCATGGAAGTATCCAAGAGACCCACCCCCTCATCCCCACCGAAGACCAGCACTTGCAAAGATCATGTGACTTGTTACTTGCCCGTCTGAAGAACAGCCAGGAAGCCAGTGGCTATGGTGCAGCAGTTGGAGAGGAAGGTATGGCAGAAAATGAAATCAGAGACAGTGAGGGTGAGAGTAGTGTGGAGGGGTGGGGGAGTACAGATCGTACAAAGCTTTGATGCCATTGTAAGCACTTCGGTTTTTACTGAGGGAAATGGGTAGTTGTTGGAGGGCTCCCCCTAGAGGAACAGCACAAGCTGATGTGTTTTAGCAGGACTCTGGGAAAAGACTACGGCAGGGAGGTGCAAAAGCTGCAGACAGAAAACCAGCGAGGAGGCTACTCTAAGAATCCACATTAGAGAATGAACATTGCTTAAACTAGGATAGTTGGTGGTAAGAAATGGTTGGACTCTGGATATATCCTGAGGGCAGGACCAGCAGGATTTGCTGATGGTTTGGATGTAGAATATAGAAGAAACAAACTAGAATGACAAGCTTTTTGGCTTAAGCAAAAGAATCTTATTGCCACTTACTGAAATATGGAAGATTATAGGAAAAGCAGGTGTAGGGTGGGAGGGGATATCAAGAATTCAGTTCTGGAAAAGTTGAAGATGTGATTAGATATACAAGGAAAAAAGCCAAATAGACATTTAAATAAGTAAGTGGAATTGGAGCTCAAATGAGAGGCCAAGCCTAGAAAGACACGCTTGGAAGTCATTAACATATACATGACAACACAAAAGTGCTGACATTAGAGATCAACTAGGGAGTGTTAATACAAAGAGGTAAGATCTGAGAAACAAGTTCAGGGGGCAATGACTAGAGTGGTTGTAGAGATGAGATCGAGCCGCAAAAAAAACCATGAAGAAGGAGCCAGTGAGGCAGAAAAACCAAGACAGGGTGGTCAAGAGGTCAAGTGAAGAAATGATTTCCAGAAGGCTTCCTGTTGTACTTATGATTAAATCCAAAATTTAAATACGAACTGCAAGTCACTTCTTTCAGAAGCCTGGCAGCAAAATATTTCTATACAAATCCAATTGACATTTTTTCAAAAACCCAGAAGATAAAACTCCAAGAAAACAACAAATCAAAGAGGAATTACATCACAATTCCCATTTGTTAGTCTGTAATTCAAGGAGGTAATACTGATCTTTGTAACTTCTGGAAATACACTTAAATAGTGTTTATCTACAAAAAAATCATTAAAATTAACATATAAAGAAACCAAATCTCTGGTGGGAATGTGAAATAAACACACAACACAATACATTTAAAAGCTGTTAACATGTTCATACCCTTTGATTCAGGAATTCTCTTCCTTTGTTCCTAAAGAGATAATTAAAGATGTGGGCAAAGACTTTGCTAAAAGGATACTCATTACAGCACAAGAACTAATAAGAAAATTATAAACAGCCTAAATGTCTCAACATAGATAACTGTTTAGTTCCAGTTCATCAGTTTCACTAGAATATATATATATATATATGAGTGTGTGTATATACATACACATATATGAATAATTCTACTACACTGAAAGTATAGTAGGAGATTCACTAAGGTTTCTAACATTTATTGCCTTTAAATAGCAGCATTATGGGTTTTACGACATTTTCTTCCTTTTGACCTCTATTCGTTGATTCTTCAGGAATGAGTATATTTTTGTACAACTCAGAAAAGGTTTATGTGCTATAAAGTGAGACTATTAGAGGCAGGACAGTATAGCTCAAGTGGTAGAGCACACGCCTAGCAAGCCTGAGGTCTGGGTTCAATCTCCAGTACCTTCACTGAAAAATCATTTGAAAAATAAGTAAATAAATCAAATTACCTCTCCCCTGCCAAAAAAAAAAAAAATTAAAAAAGAAAAAAAGTGAGGCTATTAGAGAACCACCTTGTTCCTGCTCAGAGGATAATGTTCGGTCTTCGCTCACAGTTGCTCCTGATTCCAATGTCACTGCTTTACTTTCAGTTTCACTAACAGTTGTAATCATTTCACTTTCATCCTCAGACACAGATTGAATTGTCCAGAGAGATTTTTGACTTCGAATCTTATTTAATAATTTTTTAAAAAGAAGTTTTGAAGGAATCTGGTGGGTCTTCACTGACAAAGGAACTAAAAGAAAAGAAAACTTTATTCAGCAGCTATTATACACCAGGCAAATTACTCTATCTTTATACTTAGTTACCACGACAACCACTGGTTAAAACAGAAGCACAACTTCAATTTCCTTAGTATTTGTAATTTAACAGCATATACAATGCTATTCAACCCCAACCACAATTTTATAACCAGGAATATTTTTTCAACTTAAATTTAAATAAGGACACCAAAATTCAACTACAATTGACCTTTGAACAACATGCATTTGAACTGTGCAGGTCCATTTATTTGCAGATTTTTTTGATAAATACGTACTACAGTACTGTATGATCTGGGGTTCACAGAACCTGCAGATGTGGAACACTGGATACAGAAGGCCCACTGTATGTTATACGCATATTTTCGACTGCGTGGAGGGTTGGTGCCCCAATCCCCAGTTGTTCAAGGGTCAACTGTATTTTTTCAACAGTAGGCATGCAACGTAACTGTCAAGCTTAAACATGTATCAGAAAGATGTTTATTTTCGCTTGCTAAATGATGATAGAATGCGTATTTCTTAATGTGTGGGTAAGATTGGCATTCAAAATACGTGCTGTAAGGCTCTACACTCTATGCTAGAGAAGGGTCTCAAATATAGTTCTGTACTTCTTAGTAGGCTACAGAGGAAAACATTACTATTTACAACCTTAACAGCAAACCAAATGCTCCCAAATTATTCCTGGCACTATCTGGGGAAATGTCCCCATTTCCCACATATCTTCAAAAAGAAATCCCTTCAGTTACAAAAAAAAAAAAAAATTTCTCAAATAACCTTCCAGATGAACTGATGATACAACACCAAAACTCAGTACAGTACTAACAGCTCTCTAAGGGGAAGAAACTTGCAAATACACAGTTCTCTGGCTGAATCAAGGAATAAAATTTAAGAAATTTATGGAGGTTGAAAACTCACAGACTGTAGTTCTGACTCACATTTGAAAAAAACTTTTTGATCGAGTTATAACTTATAAACAATTGTCTGCTGCTTTATCTCAGTCAACACACTCCCTAAAGATAACCATTACTCTAACCTCGCAACCAGATTAGTCTTACCTGTCTTGTTCCTTGACTTAACTTCAGATAAATATGGAAGCAGACTTAGGTATTCTTTCTGCCTGGCTTCTTTCACTTACTATTAGTCTGTGACTTACTCATTTTTAAGAAATAAATTAGTTGTCATTATTTAAAAATAAGGATTTTTTTAAAAAGGGATTGCTGGGTTCTTTTGAAAAAAAATAAAATTAAGAGAACTGGCAAAACCAAGCCAGCAATTCCAAATGGAATCAGCAGGAACTGAAGAGTAACTGTCCTTTACAACAAGACAAGACTTGCAATTCTGACAAACCAGAGAGCTGAATGATATTCCCAATAATAAAACCAAAAAAGCAGGACAAAATAGTAAAAACACTTTCTTAAAGGCACTGATCATCTGGCAAGAAAACAAAAGATTCTGCATAGGCCAGAAATGAAGTTTAATGAGAATTCAGGGCAAATGAGACCTGAACTCATCTTCTGAAGTTTACATCAAAGCACAGTACTGTACTTTGTGCAGCAGTGTGGGCACAGGAGACAGGGATAAAGCCTAGAACCCTCACCCAAGGAGTCTAAGAGGAGACCTACATAAAACTGGAACCCCAAAGGGCTACCTATCCAAAGGGTAGGGTGAAGATAAGAAAGCCTGGGTGGTTTTGAACTAAGGCAGTACTTGGAGGAATGGGGAAAGAAGAGGTCAAAACAAAGAGAACTTGGTCTCTAAGGAACTGTGGAGTAAAAGAGATACCTTTACCTTCTGGGAGGTCCCCCTCATGGCCCTAGTTCGGATTACTGCTGACTGTGGTATCATTTACCAACATGAGAAAGATGGGAAGACAAGGTTTCCGTAGGCAAGAGAAGATGATGAATTTATTGTTAGACACTTAGTTTTAGTTCAGAATGGTGGAGACAGAGATGAAGTTTAGATGAGAGATCTAAGTTTGCACTGTTTATCATTATACATGAAGTGATAATTAACACAGTAGGATCTCTTTGGTGATTTGATCAATGCCTAAAAAAAAAAAATGTTGACCTTCCAAATGAATTCAAAATTGAGCACCTAAGTAACTAAAAATCTTCAGAGTATATGTACATATAAATAGAATGACACTTCTACATATATAAAAAGGATCTTTAGTGATAGAAATCTGAAAACATTGCTTCCTCCATCCCATTAGTATTAGTCACTGTTCGCACTTATTAGACCAGACTTTCCTAACTACTGGCAAATGACTAGCATTTTTTTCTATGAAATATTGTAACATTCAGCTCAGAAGGAGTTCTTACTGTCTGCTTCACCAGAATATATTGCTTTAGCTTCTGTCACTGGAATGTTTTCAGTCTCTCCTAAACTTTCTTGTTCCATTGAAAGGTCCAGTTCTTCATCTTGGGTCTGATCAGTCACAGTCGGCAAAGGCTCTGGTTCAAGGTGCAAAATCAGGTTTCCTTTCACCTCTCAATAAAGAAGTACAGAGAACATATTTACCTTCCAAAATGACTAAAAAGAACTTGAGCATAAATTCTTAAAGGCCACCATAATCTCTAAGTCTAAAATATGAGGGTCTCTTTCAAATTGAGAACTCATTTCAAAATAAAAACTGCCTCATCAAGACAAATCTGTTTTCCCACCAAAACATTAAAAAGCATCATAAGAAAGTGTATTGACTGGGGAAGGTACAGCTCAGTGGTAGAGTGCATGCTTGCCATGCATGAGGTCCTGAGTTCCATCCCCGGTACCTCTATTAAAATAAACAAACAAACAAATAAGTAAATAAATAAAATGTACTGAAAATATCTTACTCCTGTCTGCATTATACATGTCTTCAAAGGCAAATTCCAGCTCTCTCTGCCAATCTTCTTTCATTTCACTGCGTTTGTATGGCAGTTCAACTAGTTGTGGTGGCATCCGTGCTACAGTCTGTCTCCTGCGTGCTAGATCCTCTTGCTGTAGCTGATGGAGTTCTTTCATTAGCTTCTCTTGATTCTTCAGGAATAAAGAGAATCACTTAACATTTGAGTCACAAACTCTGGATAGTAACATTAATAGTGTGGGAAAAGTGGAGACACCATGAAGAATAGGGACTGGAGTTCCCTCCCCATCTCTACAACCTGTTCAAACACAGAAAGACATGAAGAGGCAGCCCTCCCTATCCACGGCTCTTCCACATCTGCGGATTCAACCACCCATGGACCATGTAGGACGATAGTATTTACTATTGAAAAATACGTGGGTATAAGCGGTCCCGTGCAGTTCAAATTGGTGTCGTTCAAGGGTCAATTGTATTGTTAATAAGTACCAGAGAAATTGGTTCTGGTTAGGCCACAAAGTTTCAAAAGCCTGCCAGTAACAGATCTCCTTTCTCAGAACAGTCATGAAATTACCGTCTACTTAAGCCGCCACAGCTCCCGCAACGTACTCTATTCTAGTTCTCCACATGGCCAGCAGCAGATACCAGGCTCAGGTGAGCACCAAGACCCAGAGTGACTGTGATACTTAACAGATACTTCTTGTTACTTCACACTTTCATGAATCCCTAAGAATAAATGGGATCTGCATTTCTGTAAGCATAAACAATCTGGCAAGTACGGAAGTTTAAGCACAATGTTTTACTGAGGTTATCTAACCTAATTCTGGTGGTGGAAGATAAGGACGGGGGATAAGGTAAGACCTCTCACCCCCTGGGATGAGGATGTAGCCATGTATAAGTGCGGGAAGGAGAAGCAGTACAAGTAAGAAATAACAACCGCAGCACAAAAGTATGGAGATGAAGGCACGGGCGGTCAGGGCGAGTACACAGTTCATTACAGACAGGATATGGAGGGTGAGGCTGGCTAAGGAAAAAAGATAGAGTTGGAGAGGCAGGTAGAGGCCAAATACAACAGACAATGGCAGGAAATAAGACCCCAGGGCACAACGGGGTCTGCAGCAAAAAAGGTTCAAACAGGGAAAGGGAAACCCTCTGGTTTTGCCAACCATTCTTGTGTAAGAGGCACAGTCTACAAAAAGGTAGAGAGCTTATATAACAAAGTATTTTTCATGTGATTACACACTACTTATTTGTAAATACTTTGTCATTTGGAGGTGAGGTTTTTTTTTTTGGTCAGGCTCTGAAAAAGAATCAAATTATGAAGGAATTCATTTATATTAAGATTCAAATCATCTAATTAAATTAACTTCAAAGTTACTTGAATAAGCATTAAACTGTTTCTGGCTCACTGAGAACGCGGCATTTTATTCTACTTGAATTATTCACAACAACTACCATGATCACTGACATTTAGTGTGAAATTATGAAATTTCATGCACAATTCTAAGGGCTTTACTAAACTCATTTAATCCTCACAAAACAGATGATGAAACAGAATTCAGAGAGGTTAGGCAACATGCCTGTGATCAAACAACTAGGCAGCAAAGAAGGGAGGAAAACCAGGAAGACTGACCATGGAGTCCACTTCCTTGACCACTGAACACTACCAATTTATGGAAGAATGTGCTCAGTTTACAACTGCTTTTTCCACATTTTCTTTTCCTACAAGTTTAAGCCTTAGATGAAAATTACTGGTAATAATTCAGATGTTTAGTTATTTTAATCATAACTTACCCCAGTTTATAAAAACTAAAAATCTGAGTTCATTTATACAAATGAACTTGAAGGCACTTGATTCCCACAGAAGTTCTTAAAAATTCATTCTTCAGTTGAGTGTTTAAAACATCCAAATGCACTCATCAAATTCAGAAAATAAAATCAGACTTCTAAAAAGAGGAATCATTTTTATGCTCTATTTCAAGAATAAACACTGAACAATAAGCATGACAGAAGGAAAGCTGTAACTATAAAGCTGGTTTTCATGATACATATTTTACAGCTCTGCAATCAAGTCACTTTTTCTTTTCTTTTTTTTTGAAGTCACTTTTTCAAAGTTCCCTGACAGCAAGGATCATGACTCTGCTTGATCTGCAAAGCCCACAAGTGCTCTGCTCAATAAATATTTAATGAATTGAATCTCAAGATTTGCAAAGCATTAATGCAATTCAAATAATTAAATAAGAAAAGTGATTAATTTCTTCTTAGGCTATTTTTGGACTGATTAAAATATTAAACTTTTAATACATTCATCATTTGTAAAACTTTTAGAAGAGCAATGTAACAAAAGCGAGAACAGCTTTACCCAATCTGAATTTGAAACAGGAGGTAAAAAGCAAGAATCAGACAGTATGTTCACATTCCCTACACCTCCATTCTTTGAGCCTGTTCACTATCAGTTCAACAGTGCCATCAGCAAGGCCAGCAGGAGGGGGGACAGCCAGAATTTAATTCTTACTTGAGCCAAACGGATCTTTTTCATTGCTTGGAAGCCCCGCACATGTGCCTTCTCACACCGCTCCACCTTCTCCTGTGCTGCTTGTTTCTGTAGTCCTTCCAATCTTTTAGCTTCTTCTTCAGCAGCCAAATGAGGATCTGGCTAGCAGTCAAGCAACAACATTTTAGACAATTAAATAACATGTGAAACAAAGTGGTAACTAAACAAGGCAATCTTAAAATCATGATTTTCTACTTATGTCAGATTAAATGATAACAAGAATTGTATTTTTCAATGACAATTATCAACACCATGTTTGTATGAAAAAAATCACTTTATCAGTGTATAGTTTTACAAGTTGTTTGTTTTAAACCAGAGTACACTATACTCATCCAAACACGTTCCTCCATTATTTTTTGTTAAGAAATTCCATTAAAACAACAGTGTTGAAAACACCCACAAAGCTAGTAGTTAAGAAGCCACAAACATTGGGCAGGGGGTGGGAAGGGATAGACTGGGATTTCAAAATGTAGAATAGATAAACAAGATTATACTGTATAGCACAGGGAAATATATATAAGATCTTATGGCAGCTCACCAAGAAAAAAATGTGACAATGAATATATATATGTTCATGTATAACTGAAAAATTGTGCTCTACCCTGGAATTTGACAACATTGTAAAATGATTATAAATCAATAAAAAATGTTAAAAAAAAAAAGGAAACCACAAACATTAAAGGTCATGTAAGCCACCTGGGGAAGCAGTGAAGCCAACATCTGCTGCTTGGCTATGGCTTCAGGAAGGCCAACTCATCAAAACATCTACTTTAATTTCTGGGTTCCTAGAACTTGAGAATAATCAATGATTATGTGGTTGTACAGTCAACCAGCATCTCATTAACATAATAATAGTAATATCAAATGGGGAGGGGCACACAACCTGGATTTACTATTACACCTGAACATTCACTTTCAAATATAAGCGATTCAAATGTAATTTTAAGTATAAATCTTATTTTACATGCTGGTATTCTATAAGTCAAGTGAAACAATAATGACCATGAAAGCTAGTAACTATATATCTAAAATTATTTATAACTCTCAAATAGTGAGATAAATAGAAATAGTTAATGTATTAAGAAAGAGCACTGGCCAAACAAGTATATGAAAAATATTATGTTCTTTTTGAGCTAATATTTATGCAAATCTAAGTAACAAAAGGTTAAGCAAAATTATAATCTCTATAAAGTTATTCAGCACATTAACATGCATAACATTAAATAAAATAATCTTCAGGAGCAACCTTTCATTTCATTTCATATAGGCCATAAGGTTTTGAAGAAAAAAGTTGTTTGGGAATTTTTCACATCATTTGAGGGTGAACTAAAAGCAGAATGTCAATTTTGGTAAACCAGAATTTCAAGGGAAGGAAAACTTCAAAACATACACTGTGTATAACAAACATGTTCAATCCAGATATAATGAGGTATATAAAGAAAATCAAGAAAATAAAGGGTCAGAGAAAAATTCGGTACCCCAAACAAGTTTTATTTTGACTGCCCAAACGTCAAAACAAAATTGTCCAAGAATGCTTTAGGAAGACAATCCCTTAAAAATTCGTGTCAATGCAACCAAAACTTTAAACAAAAATCTGGTTGAAATAATTGTTAGATTTCATTTTTAGCAGTTGAACTCAAAAGGTACAGGAAACTGCAAAAATGGTGAATCCCAAGCAAAAATTCTTTTTAGAAAACATGTTTCTGAAAGTCTTTTCCATGAATTATAATCTGCAGTGCATAAAACAGTAAGTGATATTATTAAATATGTTACTTCGGCATCTTCTACATTAGACATATGGACTGAAATCTTTTTTAAGCATGACAAGCTTGGTAAGTAGAATTTAAGTGTTTTTGCTTGTCTACAGACAGCAAACAATATAGTGAATTTGATTAGAAAAGTATTTCTAGGATGAAAAACCCATTTTAACAAGTGCTATGTAACTGTCGTTAATAAAGGAACAAACAGGATGAAGGGCACGTGTACTTTAGAATTTTCAAGCATATGAAGTTTTGTGCTTATAAAACGTGAATATAGCACAAAACAAAAGTTAGAGAATAACTGGCTCTAAGTAGGAATATAGTAGGTCGGGTCCATCATTCTTCAAAGACCAATTCTATGATACACAAAAGATTTTGGAACTACTTTATCAAGATACTCAAACAACGCATGATAGTAGCTCTTACATGTTAAAGAGGCTGACTGAACAAATGAAAGTAGCTTATCTGGAGAAAGCAGCTGAAGAAATAACCAAACTGTATGCCAGGAGCACGAGTATTTTTTACACAATACCTGCTCTAAAGGTCCTATCATTCTACTCCAGGAAAAATGCAAAATTATTATGCATGTGAAATAAGCTTAGATGCAGATGAAAATGCAGATTTGTTATCTGGAAAACCAAACACATTGCTCTACTGTCACATTTTAAACCCACAGTTTTAAGGACAGAGTTTTCCTAAGTGATGGTGTGAGGAAGTAGACAAAATATCAGAATATTTTAGTTTGTGGGATTGTTTTTTTATAAAGCTGCCTTATAATTACTGATCTAATCTTCACGTCCAGAAAGTGACAAGAAGGTAGGCCTCTTAGTTACTATCAAAGAGGAAAGGTTAATAACTTACTTTGACACTTACTGTGACACCATCAGTGGCGTCCTATACTATAGCTGGAGAGAAAAATGTCTTTCTTCATCAATCTTAGTTAGTATTGAACATCTATTTAATACTGTAAAAATATAGTGTGGTGACCACAAAAGCAAGTTAGCAATAGGCTGAAGTTATTGTTCCTGTATTATAAAATACTGAAGTTGTAATAATATTTTATGATTTTAAACAAGTTTCAAGATTTATTCTTATTTCTCAGAAGTTCATTGTATGCGGATGATACTCATCCTAGGTCTTGATCAAATCTGATTTTTTAATACCTGCTAGTAAGCAATCAACCAAAATGTGTAGTTGTTGCATTCTAAACTCCGCATGAATGCTATACGATGAAAGTTTATTTCACTGGAAGATAAACAGATCCAACATGAAAAAAATGAAAACCCACGGTTACAAAGAAATAGCAATCATAACAAGGAGATATCATTTGTCACTCTTAAGACTGATGGTAATTTTAACCTATAACATTTCATACAAACAAGGGTCTGATAAGATGCCATTTTCATATGTTACTGATGCTTTTAAAAGGCAATTTAATGACCTGTATCAAGTATTTGTCATTAAATGTTATACAGTTTAGAACCTATAGTTTCTCCTAGGAATCTATTCTAAACATACAATCAAAGCTGTATAGAAACGTACAAGATGATTTTGTTTGCATCATTTATAAAGCAAAAAAAAAAATAAGAGAACAGTTAAATTCTGTAATGAAATATTAAGTGACTATTAAAAATCATGTTTTGAAAAGTGTGTGTATGTTTATATATAATGAATCCATTAATGCATCAATCACATTACATTTTGGTGATGGCATCGTATGTGTTTTTCCTATAGTTCTGCTTACATGTACAGTTCTAAATTTTCACAGAGTATGTATTATTTTTACGATAAAGTTTTATGGTAAAAAAACTATTTTAAAATATAACCATTTAAGTAACCAACTCCTTTCATTCGTATTAAATCTGCATTCATATTAAACATGACATCATAATTCAAAGTATATTTAAAAGATTTTTTTTCCCACTATTGCCCTAAGATGGTTGGTAGAGTCATTCAAATTTTGATATTTGAGAACAATGTACGTAGAACCAAGTTAATACTCAATTCAGTGAACGGAGAAATAATAAAGTGAGGGTCATGAACAAACAGTAAGTCAATCACCTGCTCTGTGTCCACCTCTCTATTCACAAAAGTATAAAGATGATGGTATGTAGAACTACTGGTTTTCACCTTAGAAGTTCTCTTTACGTCAATGTTCTGAAAAATGGAACACAGAAAATACATTGTTAGGTTAAGTATTAATTTTCACTGAAAGCAGGATCCAATGAAAAAACTATTTTTTGTATTTTAATAAGTTGTTATTTTTTTCATGAGATCATGCAATTTATCTCCTTTAACTTGGAATTTAGACTTAAAGCTACATGATATTGCAACAAGAACACTAAACAGCTGATGCTGTACAGGTTACTCCATGACGTCAGGAGGCACATAACGGCAAGGTGCTCCTCTGTTACTGATTCTGAGCTTGATTGTGTGGTTACGGTGGTTCATGCCCACTGATAAGACAGAGTTCTCTCTTCTTGTGCCTGCCAGAAGTGGGCCAATGAATAAATGAAGAAGGATGACAGATACCCATTTGGTGCCAAAGTATCCTCTTCCCATTTACATGGCAATTGTAAAGAGAAAAATACAGCTTTATAATGGAGATCTCCTGTGGTCACTACTGCAACCAAATCACACAAACACAGAATACAAGAAACTAGTCTAGTCTCTTCAACAATTCTGAAATTTAAAAGTTCCCAAGGGTTGGAGGATATAATGTTTTATTTTGAGAGAGACCACGAAATAAAACAAGCAGAAGCAATGGGTGAACCCTGACTGGATTCTGGTTTTAAAAAAAACGTTTTAAGAAAGACAACTTAGGGACAATTGGAAAATTTTGATTATGGACTGTATACTAAATGGTACTTATGAACTCATCTACAAAACAGAAACAGACTCACAAACATAGTAAACAATCTTATGGTTACTGGGGAAAGGGAGTGGGAAGGGATAAATTTGGGAGACTGAGATTTACAAATGTTAGCTACTATATATAAAAATAGATTTTAAAAATTTTCTTCAGCATAGAACACAGAACTATGTTCAATATCTCATAATAACCTTTAATGAAAAAGAATATGAAAACAAATATATGTATGTACATGCATGACTGGGACATTGTGCCATACACCAGAAACTGACACACTGTAACTGTACTTCAATTTAAAAGATAAAAAAATTAAATAAAATACATGCATACATACAATAGGGGGAGGGTATAGCTCAAGCAGTAGACTGCATACTTAGCATGACAAGGTCCTGGGTTCAATCCCCAGTAGCTCCTCTAAAAATAAATCTAATTACCTCTCCCCAACCAAAAAAAAAAAGAAAGAAAAGGTATTAAGCAATTAGTATTAATTTTCTTAGTGTGATACTGTGGTTGCATAAGAGAATGCCCTTATTCTTACCAGAAGCATGCTAAAGTATACAGGGTGAAATGCCAACTCGACAACCTACATACCAATGTACATAAGTATTTGAAATCTACACACAACGCAAATAGCTATTTCCTTGTACTCTTAACTTCTCTGTATTTTGAAAATTTTCATACCAAAATGTTGGGAAAAAAAGTATAACAACACATATACATATAATTCATATTTCCAAATCACTTATACAATGTTTTGCTTACTTTAAATTTTTGACCTTGGCTTTTTAGGAACATTAGGAATTATGGCAAAAATCATTGTAAAAACATGGATAAAAAACTGACTGCCTTTTAACAAGGTTCTGAGGGAGTGGCTGAAATATGATCTTTCCACTTGGATCTTACTGGATCAAATGTCACATGGCAGATGGCTCAACATAAAAGCAGGCAGGCTGACAGAACCAGAGGCTTCAGAGATGAATATCTGGTACGTATGCTGATCATACATATGTAAAACACACTTGTCTATACAACAAAATTAGCTATCTGTATATCTGTATTAGTATTTTTCACTTCTACTTAATTCTTTAGATAAAAATAACTGTAATTTTGATAATCATCCAAATAGCCATTTCAATAACCACATCAAACTAATGTGAACAAGAGAAACAATACCTTTTAAAATTTTCACTTTACTTAATAAGTTAGATTTAAAAAAAAAGCTCCAAATCACAAAATCACACATTCTACTCCCATAAAGAAACAGAATTCTCTCATCACTTTACATAGTCTTATGTAAATTTATTAACTTATGCAAACATAATTTCTTTATCTGTAAATGGTAACTATTTACAATAGCCAAATCTTGAATGTGGGAAAGTCTTTAGAGCAAATAATACAATTTTTCCCCAATAAATAAAGGTATTAAAAAAAAAAAGCCAAACTATTCATAATTTTTAAAAAATAAAGAACACTATAGTTTTTCAAACAAAAAAATTTTGAGACAACTGGGGAAAACTGAACATAGACTAGGTATTAAAAGATACTGGGAACACACCAATATTGTGCTTATAAAAAAGTTTTTATACATCAGAAACACATATTGAAGAATATATGGGTAAAATTATATCCAGGAATATTTTTAAATACTCCAGATACACTCATGTGTTACTTGCACAATTAAAAAATAAGTTTAAACAAATAATATTTTGACTTACACCGAATTCTAACAGTAAAGGATTATTATAACCTAGTTCTGGTACTCAGTCAACTACTACAACCAACACTCAAAGTAATTCACCTCAAAAAGAGTTGGAGGAGGAGGTGGCAGACTTGTAATTTTGGCAGATCTCTCTTTTTCCACAAGCAGTGCTTCTTTTCGAGCTTTTATATGCCTTGAAAAATAAGAAATGTCATAAATTAATCTCAGATAAAATTAGCTCTTAGGGTTAAAAATATAACAGCCAAATCTCAAATCCTCCAGTCTGGACCCACAGGCTCAATATGCTGGTTAATAAAAAGTCTATACCCAGTGGACATGTAAGAAAATGTTTACCAAGTGAAAGAAGTGTATCTAAACCCATAAAGCTCCACAGTGGGGACTGACCCAATGAATATTTATTGTTCCTTAGTTTAGAATAATTTAGAGTGAAAAAACTAGAAATGATAAAGATGGGCCACTGTATATAATGACCACTGCTGACTATGGACAGGCTCCTTCATTTTCACAACATGCGCAAATACTCATTGCTTACCTGCAAAGTCTACAACCTCTTTTTTATGGTCTTAATTGCATTGACTCTTTTTTATATCAGAGACAGACAGATTTGGTTGACATGCATTCTGAACTAGCAATACATTTCTCCAGAAACTTAGTAGTTGCTGTTAAAGTCAGACAGGAAGAGAAAGCTCATCTGTTATACGATCTAAGCAAACCACTGCCTCTCTGCGTTATTTTTAAACCAAGTTTAACAAACACAGTGGACATACTATATGACTCTCACAAAGTATATACAATGTTCCCTTTACTTCGAGCTATATCCGTTTCAGTGGAGAATACGGTAAAAATCACTATTACTTTACCAGGTTTTTTGCTTCATTAACATTTCTTTTTGATTTTTCTGTACTTTCAGGGCCTCTTTATGTCTCACTTCCGCTTTTTTTTTCCTTTCTGCTGCACGGTGTGCCAGAGCATTCAAATCAGCTTCCTAAAAACAAATATTACTGAAAATGTCATGTTAAACAAGATTAAAATGCCAAATACATGAGTGGTACCCGGTTACGGCAAAAATCATGATGGTGTATTCAAACGACTGAGGATTAGGAAAACACTGCACTAAGGCACAAAATTAATCATGGCATAAATAAAATTTCAAAAATCTGATGTCAGAACTTAAGGGCTATTACTAAAAATACAAACTAAAACCAGGCACCAAGGAACATTTTGATTGCTACATTCTTTAAAGAGTTCTTTTCTTCACTAATAGTTGGTATCAAAGACATGCCTTCTTTGGAACCCAGCTTATTTTTTGTAACTATCTCTGGGACCACATCTAGTATTTAACAACCACAAATCACAATAAACAACAGGCAGTAGTCTTAAATACTGAGGTAAGTTCTACTTTGCCTTTCTAAAAGTCATCGAAGAATTTTTAAGGTCTGTGAGTGAACTCAAGCATATACACATTTAACGACACATTTTGGAGACATGAGAAATGATAATGAATGATAATGATAAAGAAACGGGAAATCTGAATTCACCCCACTGAATCTGTTTCATATGCTCGAAATGATTAACAATTTCTAATTCTGAAGGTTGTTATTTTATTTACCTAGATAGTTAAGGACTGAAAACAAATCATGATAAATTAAACATCACAGGAACATAAGATTTCACTTGACATGACTTTTACTGGGAAGTGACCCTAGCAGCATTCTTAAATTATGTTAACTTTATAAAAAGATTCAGACTGCCCAAAGCAAATTCTATACATGAAAACATTTGTTATCAGCCAAGCACCTAACAACTCTAATCTACTTTTAACAATTATCACTACCCCAGACAGGTAATCAAATAAGTGCTCACATTTTCTTTGGCTTGTTGGTGTCCCTCTCCCATATTTCTTAAACTTGCCAAATATAGTTTTTCCAAGTTCTTTATTTTCTGAGTTTGTGATTCCTCCCATTCTGTCCTTAGCGCCTCTGCCAAACGAGTGAATTGCTGGTTTCTTCTCTGTTTTATATCTTCTCTTATCTGTAAAGCAATATCCCTTTCTTGTTCTCGAACCTAAAGAATGAATATTTAACAGATTACATGAAAAGAGGCTTACTTCAACTTTTTTTGAAAAGCTATTTGGAAACAGGAACTTAAATGAATTGTCTTTAGGTATTAGGTATATCTGTTCTCGTAAATATTCATATTATATTAGATAAGGTCTATTTAAAGCAGAAAATCCAAGTGATGTAGGAAAAATTAAAACCTCAAGACTATTTCTAAAGTTCCCTAACTGATCTTCCCTCGTCAAAGCACTACTGAGGCTGCCATTATCATTCTAGCAACATGTAAGAGGCTAAAATGGTCAGCATGATTCAACAATATTTATAGCCCAGGTGAGTACAGATGGAGCTAGATGAGAACTCTGTACCTGATTCATCATCCCCAATTCTAGACAGAATGGCACCTAAAACATGCTTCACAAAAACTTAACTATATTACTCCAAAAACAAAAAGAAAAACTTCTGGAAAAGAATAATCTGCAACTTCTGAATAAATTTATTTCAGCAGTTAAATCTTTCCCATAAATCTTCTTCAAAGTCATTCTAATCTTCTTGCTTTAAACCAGTTACATATAATTTTAAAAATAATTTATTTTCTAATAATTAGTCAAATAATTCGTATCCTCAAACTCTTCTTCAATCTGCTTACCATTTCAGCTAACTTTTCAAATGTTCCAAAACTAGTTAATATGCAAGAACCACGGCTCTTGCACAGCCAGAAAAGATTTATAAATGTAACATTTGACAAAGAACACACTACTGTAAAAAAAAATACTAATAATTTGGGGAAGACAAAGAATTAGAAACTTTGTTCCAAATAAACCTTACTTGTAGCAATCTTAATTTTCTTCTTCTTTCATAATCTTCCTTTAAAATGGAGGCTTCCTCATTAGGACTCAATCTCAGCTTACCAGCATTCACCACCTTTCTTTTCATTTTTGTGTAGTACTTTAAATATGAAGGTTCTGAATTAAAAAAAGAAAAAGTGTATCTATTAAAATAGGGAGGAAAGGACCAGGTACATGCAAATAAAATAATCTGGGGACACTAAATCCAACTTATTTACAAATAGCAATTATTAATTCAGCACTAAAATTAGTGGTTCTCAGATGGGTGGGAAGGTGTTTAGTGGCGAGTGAATCAGAATTACTTGAAAAAGTTTTTCCTTATCTCCAGCAGATTATTGTTTACCTACAGTATCTGGGATTTGACTTATTCCCAACTGGGATTTCCAGAGTTTACCTAGCTTAAACATAAAAAAACCACAAAGATTTTTTAAAAATGTGTTAGCACAGAATAAATGTTTTCACAACTACAATTTAACTCTAGAACTTTGATAACTTGTTCATAACCAGCAGGACTGCCATAACTGCAAGGGCCCTTGGCCCCTACTTCAACTCCCAGTCTGTTGTGTATAACGTGATCACCAAGTGTCGTTTTATCTTACAGAATCACATCAACCCCTCTACAGTAAAACAACTCTTCAATAATTACAATGGTGTGATATTTAAATGGATAATCATTTAAAAAAAATCTCTTAGAATTCTGATGTTTGGATGAGTCGAGTTTAGATTCCCAGATCTATTCTTCCATTGCTCCTGTTTACACTCAGGTGTTCGGTCTCCTCCCTAGATAACATGCCCCTACTTGGGGAAGTCTGGTGAGGAGAAATGGAAAAAATGTAAGAATTTATCATTTCTGTAATTTGAAAACCCTCCCCAGGTGATTCTGGTATCTCCTTGTTTCCATTCATTTCCAAAAATGAGATACTTCATGTCAGTACAGGACCACGATTTTATCGACACCAGTCAGTATTTCTTGGGTTTCCTCACAACAACCAGGCAGGCAAACAGGGGAACTGAATGCTTACATCTTTCCGAAGCTAGCTTTAGTACTACTTTTCCGTGAAGCTGTCCTCCAGTGATTTCCACTCCACCCGCCTACCACTCGTTCCTGGCTCCCCCACCTGTAACACACACTACTTCCACATTCGTATGAGGACTGATTTTAGGCTGCCATGGTATTACCTTCCTCTAGTTCTTCATCACTTACAGCCTGCCCTTTTTAGTTAGATTTCTAACAATTGAAGGACAGAGGCTCTAATTCTATTTTATTTTAATATTCAAAATAATTTAATGAATAACTACCAGGAAGTATTTCACATACTACGGATGGAAAGTTTTTACTCAGGTGTTAACAGAGGATCAGCTAGAAGAATTTGGGGTTATGTAATAGGAACTAACTTTCTCAATGAATTCTCCACCAAAATGTAAACTCAGCAAGAGCAGGAATGGTCTTATTCATGGTTTCGGTTCTATGTCCACAGCCTAAAAACAGTGCTTTGCACATAAGTAGGTACTTCAGTATGTTGGTTGACTGACTGACTCACCCAGTGAGTTAATTCATGTAAAGTGCTACAGAGGTATACGTGGTCACTGTTACCAATCTGATGCCAAAAAGGAATAATTACTTGCATTTGAAAATCTCTTCTAATGCATCCCACTCAGCTGATACTCATAAGACTTTGGAAATAGTAGGTTAAGTGCCAACTGTTTTCCATTTTATACACAAAGAAACAAAGGCCACTTAGATTAAAGGACTAGATCTAAGTGATAACATCTACTGGCAGAGCCAAGGGAAGAATCTGGTTTTCTTATTCCATATGATTCCCAACATTCTGATATGCTAAAATATGTAGAGTGAGGAAAATTTTAAGGTGGCATTTTTTTCCAACTGAGGATTGACAGATAAGAACTAGTCAGAGAAAAAACTGAGCAAGATTAAATTTAGTCTTCACAATGCATGTTATTTTTTATTTGAAGGTCTCTGAAAATTCACTCATATTTAAACTATTAAAACTAATTCCTGATAAATCCCATAGACATAGTATCAAGGAAAAAAAAAGCAAAAAAAGAGACATACTATAAAATTCCATTTACATGAAATTCAAAAACAAGCAAGGCCAATACACGATGAGAGAGGTTAAAACAGGAGTTGGTCACCTTTCTGGAGATTACCCAGGGGGCACAAAGGAGCCTGCAGGAGTGCTGGAAACGTTCTATATTTTAATCTGTATGATGGTTTTACGCATGTGTGACAGGTGTATACATACATAAAAATTTCTCAAGTGGTACAATTACATTTGTGTATTTAATTCTAAGTCATACCTCAATAAAAAAGAAAAAAATGAACTTTTCAGTATTTCGGGTATCCACTGTCTCATTTGCTAGAGGATTATAGGAAAACATACACACATTTGCTATTTTTATCTCCTAAGATGTGACAAAATAATTGCTTTCTCTTGTATATAATTTTCCTAATTTTTAAACTTATTTGGAAATAATTTGACTTAGAATTCCCAGTTTCTCTAAATGTTGACCCCAGAAGAGCAACCAAAACCAGGAAATCAACACTGGAACAATACTTCTAACTAATCTACAGACCTTATTCAAATTTCATCAATCATCCCTCTAACGTCCATTTTCTGGACCAGGACTGAAGCCAAAGACAACATATTTCCTTTGGGCCCTCTAAGAAGTAGATGCCAAGATGGGATTAAACCCACAGAGATTTTATTAGGAGAAACACTTGTGAGGCAAAATGGGGAGGGAACTGGTAAAAGCTGGGAGCGTTTCAGACTTCTATGCAAATCTGATACTCAGTGAAGGAGGGAGGAAGAGCTGGGTAGAGGCTTCAACAAAACTTCCGGGGAGTCCTTAAGCCAAAAATCCCTTGTGACTCAGGAACAGGCCTGCCTTCATATCCATGCCATGCTCACTCGTTAACTTGGTGCAGCCCACGGAAGGCGTCCATGTGGACAGACTTGAGAATACAGGGGCTGAAGGTCCCTGTGAACCACATTCTAACAGCTGCCAAGGTTGTTTTATCTCCTTCCACTTCTCTAATCTGAGACAGTTCCTGTCATTTTTTTCCCCCCAAGATCTTGACATTTTAAAAAGATACCAAATAGTTATTCTGTAGAATGATCCTCAGTTTGAATTTATTTAATCTCTTCTTGTGCTTAGACTGAGGTTATGCATTTTTGGCAAGGACACCACAGAACACCCTTCTAAGTACATCACATCAGGAGATAAATGATAATGACATGTCTTACTATTGGTGATGTGACTCACTTGATTAAGGTGGTGTCTGCCAGGTTTCCCCACTGTAGTTACTAGTTTTTCCTTCTTAAGTGCCTTGTGGAGAGACAGCCGAGGCTATATGAATATCATGTCCCTCATCATACTCTTGCCAACTACGTTTAGTATCCGTTGAGAATCGTTTGGAATAATTACTGTGGCATTTGTCAAAAGGTGTTTTTCTATTTCAATTATTCCTTCTACACTCATTCCCTCACTTTATTATTTATTCATATCAATATGGATTTTCAAATTCTAGATATTGTTACTGACCAATAATACAGGTGAAACAATTTATGTTGCAAAATTTTGCCCTGAGGATTAAATGGCAGCTGGCACATTGTAATCACAAATAGCAGACTTAGAAGATTTGAGTTCAAGATTCAACATTACCACTTACAGCAGGAAGACACAAGTCACTTTGGTCTTGTTTTCTCAAACTATGTAAGGAAAATCATAATATCTACTCCAACAGGTTGTTCTGATGATTATGTGACTTAATGAAAGTGAAACTGCCAAATATTTTCTAAATATTAAAGACTCAAATGTTCCTTGTTTAAAAGCTCAAGTTTGTGGCAGGACTTAATACTTGAGAAATTAGAAGTGAGAGACACCGAGAAAGAGCATGCCCTACGGCACGAAACTTTTCCAGGCAGTGTTCTTAAGCGGCTACTAGGCTTGAGACCACGTCCGCAGGTGACCTGGGGGGCAGGGTGGGCAGGACGCACCCAGAAGCGTTTGCAGTAGCGACCGCGAAGGCCCTCCCGGCCCCTCAACTCGGAAGCTCGGGGACCCCGCGAGACCCGACCCCGGGAGGCCGCGCAAAGCCACCCGCGCAAAGGCCCGGAGCGGCCTCCCGCACGAAGCAAACAGGGGCTGAGTCGGGACGCTCGTGCCCATGCCCCGCTGCTCCTCCCGGCCGCCCGCCGGACCCCGACAGGGGCCCGCGGCCTGCTAAGGCCGGAGAGCCGCGGGCTGTGCTGTCTGCGCGGCACCCTCTTCCTCCCGAGCACTCCCTGCTCCCGGGCCTCGGGGAGTCGTGCACGCCCGGGGCCGCGGGGAAGCTGGCGCATCCGTCACTCACCCGAGAACCGGGAAGCTGGACTCACGAACCGCGGCTCAGTCTGAGAGAGCCGCGGCAGCCGCCGCACATCAGCCTCCCAACAGCCGTTTGTGCGCCTGCGGGTCGGCCATCGCTGAGCCCCCGTCACTTCCGTCATTCAAACCGCCCGCCAATGGCGCGGCCGAACCGCGGGAATCGGCCTGGTCCCGCCTCCCCCGGGGGCTGCCGGGACGGTCGCGCCGGAAAACCGGCTCCCGCGGCGCGCACGCGCACTCGCACGCGCAGGGGCCGGCTGCTACGTAGGGCCTCATTATTTCACATACCGCGGCTCAGAGGTTTTGCTTCGCGTCTCCCAAAATGCCCTTGTCGAAAGATACTTACCCAGATCCGTGAGGGCGACTTTAGTCTTAAGCCCCATCATGAAGGTGCCTTGGGATATGCATCCTTTTGTGTACTGACTACACAATTCACTTGGTACCATTGCTCACTCTGCAGTTATTTCCTGATAACTTTCAGCTGGTACAAGTGAACTGTTATCTTGATACTCTGCCTCCTGAGGTCCATACACCTAGAACGAGACAAGGATTTATCTGCTGTAAGTAATTTTAATCAGAACAGGAATGAGCGCAAGTTCATATTTATTGAGCATCTATTATGTGCCAAGCACGGTGTGCTAGGTGCAGGAGAGACAAGGCTAAATGGATTATGGGCCCTATCCTAAATTTTGTACTCTAGGGGGTGAAACATATCAGGAAGCAAAGGATTAAAAAATGCGGAATGCTAGAGAGGGAAGTTGCTGATGTGATCAGATCTGGTTTCATTGTGGAGGAGAGGATGGAGTGAAGACTAAAGGCAGGAAAGCAAATTAGGATACTGCTGCAGGAAGTGAAACAAGAATGGACAGAAGTGAGTAGATTTAAGAGGCAAATAGAAGACCAGACATCAGGAGTTGGTGGTTATCTGCTTTTGGATGGCAAAAAAAAGGGAAAATGGTGATGCCTGGTTTCCATATTTGGCAACTGAGTGGATGAGGATAACATTCCCCTATAACACCCAGGAAGAGGGGAAAGTGATGACTTAAGCATTGAATATTTTGAATTTGACCTTCTTGTAGGATATCTTGACAGGAATGAATTCCAGAAATACTTAGGAGGCAAAATCAGCAGTTCTTGACAAGCAGTTGCATGTGGGGTTGAAGAAAAAGGGAGAGTAGAGCTAACCTCACAGGCTACTGACTTGAGGAGCACTGTTGATGGTGGTGCCAATAACCAAGAAGAAATCAGAAGTGGGAGTCAGTTTAAAGGCGATGAGCTCAGCTCTGGAAATGGTGAACTTGTGGGACATCCAGTGATGTGCAGTAAGCAGAGGAATACAATGGTAGACAGCCTGCAGATCTGGTCTAGCACATAGACTTGGGTTTCATTTCCATATGAGTTATAACCAAAGCTAGAGAAGTGGGTGAGATCACTTAGGGAGAATTTTCAGAGAAGAGCTATGAGCTAAGGACCAAACTCTGAGGAACACCTCAAGTTAAAGGAATTGGAGAAAGGAAAAGTCAAGTACACGGAGAAGAAATAGTGTGACCCACCTTTATTTTACAGACAAAGAAGCTAAGTTACAGAGAAATTCAGTGAAGTGGATGAGACCACATTTAAGGGAAGGGTGGAACCAGGACAAGAATTCGTATTTCTCCCAAATACTAGGGTTCTTTCTGTCTACTTTCCTCTCCATTTTCTGTCACATTTATCTTAATGAATAATTGTATTTATTCTAAACATACTGTTACTGAGTCCAAACTCATTCTGCTAGCCTCATAGCAGGCCAATAAATCAGGAGACAAGGTGCTGGGGCAAGGAATGGTGACTTTATTCAGAAAGCCGGCTGACTGAAAAGACAGCAGACTGCTGTCCTGGAGAGCCATCTTCCTCAAGCCAGAATTCAGGCTCCTTTTATGCTAATAAGGGGAAAGGGTGTGGTTGGTTGTCGCAAGCTTCTTGGTGTCAGAATCCTTTGTTCTTGCAGCTGTCCATGTAGATCAGGTCACTGTGTTCCTGTAAACCTCCGATAAGACAAGTGTTATTTTCTATTCTGCAGCTTTTAATCTTTATATGAATGGGAAAGTGTTCTACCCTTAAAGGTCAGAACTTTGAGAAGGGGCAATCCTATAGTATTTCAGGCTAGAGGCAACATTCTTTTACAAAAGGTGCAGAACTAGCACAACTAAGCACAGGAAACAGAGCACAGGGTTAGAGCCAAAGGAACAGATCTAATGTGGAGTCAGATTTGTTCTTCCCTGTTACAGTATCTCAACATCCTCAACACAGACTCTCCCACAGTCAACAAAAGATGTGCCCATTATTTCATACCATAGGGTACGCTTAGTGTCCACCATGTTTTCCAAAGGCACTCTGCACATTCCCCATCATGGCACTTCTCAATTCCTAATGAAATAATCTGTTTATGGGGCTCTCTGTTGATTAGACTCTACATTTCTCAAGAACCACGCGTGCATTTTGTTTAGTTACTTGCCACATAGACCTTCTCAAATGTTTGTTGAGTGAATGAATGAATTGTATGCATCTCTATACATCCTGGCAGAAATCCTACAAGTGTAGATGTTGAATTAAGGCTTGTTCTGTTTTTAATATGAGGCAGTGAGGAATCAAAGAAAGCCCAGTGGTTGTAGAGTCAGGGTGTCTGGTTTAGCATCACAACCCCGAGACTTTCCAGCTGTAGGACACTAAGCCTGCGAGCTTTAGTTTCTGGCTTGATTCTCCATCATTACCAACCAAACCACCCTAGAATATCCAGAATGGCTTGCTCGCTAAGGCTGGCAGTTGATTCTGACTGTCAGCCGAACATTTACCTGGAACTGTTGACTGAAGTGCCTTCATGTGGCCTCTCCATGTGGACTGGGCCTCTTACTAGCCGAGTTTCAAGAGGAAGTGTCCAAGGAATGAGTATTTCCTGGGCAAGAAAGTGAAAGCTGCAAGTCCTCTTAAAGGTGAGGCTGAGAAATAGTTATAGTAAGTTCTGCCACATTGTATTGATTAAGTACCAAAGGGCCGGCCCAGATTCAAGTGAAGGGGAAACAAACACCACCTCTTAACGGACAAAGGGACAAAGAATTTGCAGCCGCCTTTAACTCGCCACCGTTTCCTTACGATTGTGAGACTCAAACGGCATGAATCAAAAAGAGCACTTGTAAACTCCAAAGAGACATAACCATGTTAGGTATTTGAGTACCTATTTTATATATAAGCAGCTTTCTCTCTTCTCACACAAACCCAGCCCTCCAGGACACAGGGGTAGGCATATGACCCAGACGAGGACAATCACCAGTTCTCTATCTCCCTTGCCACTGAGACTGACCCAAGGAGAGGTATATAATCTAAACCGGGTCAGAGTTTTTCACAGGAATTTTTCTTACTAGAGGTTGCAGGGATGAATCTTTCCCTCTCTGGGCTCATGTTGGGATGTGAATCTGGAGCTTCCACAGTGAGGTTCCCCACCCTGTGGTCACCCACAACTGGTCTGAAAGAGTGAGTCTGACACTCAGCCAGGAACACGCAGAGAGAATGATGACAGTGGTCAAGGCCCTGGATCCAGCCATTCCTGAGGTGAGCTCATTCTGTAGCTTCCCAGTAGGCACCATTATACTTAAGCTGCTTTGAATAGGAGTTTCTCTCACTTTTTTCCTCAAATTCAAAGGGGCTGTTGATTTACACTTAAATTCTCACAGACAAACAACATCTGGACATCTTACAGAATAGTATAGAATAAAAGTTAAGATCTTAGACCTATAGTCCAACTGCCTTAATTTAAGTTTCTGGCTTAGCAACTCTGTGACCTTGAGCTAGTTCCCCAACCTCCTGAAAAGTCAGTTTTCTCATCTTGAAAAGGCGTGTAATAAAGGTATTCAAAGGTTGTGAGGTTTCAAGCCCTTAAGACAATGCCTAGCACAAGGTGTGCCATAAATATTACGTTTCTTGGCTTTTATTTTAACACATTCACTTCTGATTGCAGGAGGCCAAGCCAAAACAAAACAAACCAAGGAAACAAAGAAAAAAAAAACCTTTTAAATGTGTTTATTGGTGTTTGGTTTAATTTTTAATTAGGTCCTTTTGAACTTGATTGTCCTAGGGAGAGGTGTGTATGTTTAGTTTCTACTGTCCTTACCCCCACTAGGGATGAACATTAATAAGCAATGATTAAGAGAAAGAGTCGCCTCTTGGCAGTAACGACATCAGTGTGATTGGTCGCCATGTAATGTGGCCCCTCAAAATACAATGGAAGCTGTTTAGGATTGGAACCATTTAAGATGCTTCTCTGATGGTAACAGTTTCATCATTCTGAGTTCCTTTGATTTTTACCCACATTCAATGTAAGAGACTGGCATTAAAGTCCAGGTTAGGGGGACCCTCAATAATTCTTATGTATAAAATCCAGAAGAAAGGGAATCTCTGCAAGAACAGAAGTAATCAAACTCCCGTCTGACCCCCTGCCAGCTGGCCTTCCTCCCTCTCTGGCATACGAACCACAAGAGCTTAACAAGTGATAGCATCTCAGGATAATTTAGAGCTGCTACCAAAAGTGAGATTAAGAGTATCCAGCAAGAGAGGAAAGATGGGCTGGGAAAGGCCTTTAAAAGCTTTAAATATATATTACTAAGGTGTGTGGGTAGGTTTGGGGGTGGGAAGGAAATTGGGCCATTTATTTAAGGAGAGTGAGAAATGAAAGGAGGGAATGGGGAAATTAATTGATTTTTGTTTCATCTTTTTAATCTTTTTCAGCTAACACGATATTTATTAATATGACTGATATGTATTAAGCCATAAGGCTGGAGACCGTGAGTTACAAAAAAAGACAGGGAAGTCTAAATGAAAAGGGGAGAAAAGGAGACTGTTTACAACCCAGGCACGCACAGAGCAGCTGAGGAGCATTAGGTGGGATGAGGAGGAGCTTTGCAGCCGGGGTCAGAAGAAGTGGGTTTGAGCATCTGCTTGCCCAACAGTTAACCTCTCTGAGGCTCAGACTCTATAATATGGGGATAAAAATACTCAACACTGGGAGCTGGGTAGGAAAATGGCTCAGTGGTACAGCGCATGCTTAGTTCAATCCCCAGTACCTCCATTAAAAAAAAATAC